GAGATATGGGAACATATGTATAACTGATTCACTTTGTTATAAAGCAGAAACTAACACACCATTGTAAAGCAATTATACTCCAATAAAGATGTTAAAAAAAAAAAAAATCTGTGTGCCTTTCAAATGTCTGAGCTGACTGAATCCTTTACCCTAGACCCTAGCTCTGTGCTTTGAGCTCCCCAGGGCCTGTCCACCTTTGATGAGGTGCATGGACCACTTTGTTGGCTGCAGCATGTTCAGGCAGTGTCAGGAAATATTGTTTTTAAAGAAAACCAGAAACAACACCCATAATATTTTACTTTTCAGAAATAGTGAATAAAAGCTTAGTCTGTTAGGGATGTTATGACAAAATACCCCAGATTTGGGTGGCTTATAAACAACAAAGTTACTTCTCACAGTTCTGGAGGCTTAAATTCTGAGATCAGGGTGCCAGCAACAGTCAGGTGAGGGCCCTCTGCCAGATGCAGATTTTTCATATCTTCACCTGGTGGGAGTGCTGGGGAGCTCTCTGGAGTCTCCTGTATCCAGCGCTAATCCCATTCTTTAGTTACACCCTTGTGACTGAAGCACTTCCCAAAGGCTGCACCTTGTAATACCATCACCTTTGGGAGTTAGAATTTCAACATGAACTCCAGGGGGCACACTACCATTCAGAACATAGCACAAAAGGTACAGGGAGCGAGTGGCTGTAGACATCCTAAATTTGAGGGGGAAAATGGGAATATAAACACAAGGGGCTCAACAACTCAAAGTGGGATACATCCAAAGAGGCCCACACCAAGATTTAATCAAACCATCAAAAGTCAAAGACAATCTTAAAAGCACCAAGAGGAAAGCAATACAAAAATCCTCAACAAAATAATAGCAAACAGAATTCAACAGCACATTAAAAGAATTATACATGATGACAAAAGGATTACACATGATGACCAAGTGGGATTTATTCCAGGAGTGCAAGAATGGCTCAATATAATAAAGTCAATCAATGTAATATACCACATTTGCAGAGTGACAGTGAATAAAAACCCATTTGATCATCTCAGTGTGACAAAACTCAATACCCTTTTGCAATAAAAACACTCAACAACCTAGGAGTAGAAGGAAATAAACAAAATGAAGACCATATATGAAAAGCCCACAGGTGGTATTCGTATTCAATGATGAACGACCGACAGCTTTTCTTTTAAGATCAGGAACAAGACACAGATGTCTGCTTTCACCACTTTGACTGAACAAAATAACTGGAAGTCCTAGCCAGAGCAGTTAAACAAGAAAAAGAATTAAAAGGCAGTTACCTTGCTTCACACACAACATGATCTGATATGTAGAAAGCCCTAAAGATTACAGCTCACACACACACCTGTTAGAACAAATAAATTAACAAAGTGGCAAGATACAAAATCAACACACAAAAATCAGTTGTTTTTGTGCCCTAACAACAATCCAAAAAAGGAAATTAAGAAAATGATTCCATTTACAATAGAATCAAGAAGAATAAAACACTTAGGGATAAATTTAACCAAGGAGGCAAAAGACTTCTATGCTGAAAACTACAGAACATTAGTGAAAGAAATTAGACACAAACAAAAGACATCCTCTGTTTATGGATTGAAAGACTTAATACTGTTAAGATGTCAGCAGTATCCAAAATGATCTACAGATTTAATGCACTCTATCAAAATCCCAGTGGCATTTTTTTTCCCCAGAAATAGAAAAATCCATCCTAACATTCATATGGACTCTCAGGGGACCCTGAAGAGTCAAAATAATGTTGAAGAAACAAAAGTTGGAGGTACCACACTTGATTTTAAAACAATATAAATCTACAGTAATTAAAATAGTGTAGTACTGTCATAAAGAGACACATAGACCACTAAAATAGGAAGCCCAGAAATAAACTTTCCTATGTCTGGTCAAATGACTTTCAACAAGGATGCTAAGACCACTCAATGGATTAAAGCCAATCTTTACAACAAACAGTCTGGGAAAATTGGATATCCACATACAAAAGAATAAAGATGAACCATATCATAGTATGTTTAGGCTACTACAACAAAATACCACAGACTGGGTATCTTATAAACAACAGAAATTTATTTCTTATAATCCTGGAGGCTGGGAAGTCAAAGATCAAGGTGCCAGCATGGTTGCCTTCTGGTGAGGGCCCTACTTCCTAGCTCATAGCCAGTGCCACCTTGCTGTGTCCTCACATGGTGCAAGAGGCAAGGGATATCTCTGGAGCCTCTTTTATAAGAGCACCAATTCCATTCAGGGCAGAGCCTCCATGACTTAAGCACTTTCCAAAGGCCAACCTACTAACACCATCACATTAAGGCATTAGGATTTCAACATATCAATTTTGGGGGGATACAGGCATTCAGACTAGCAGACCATTACCTTAAATGATATACAGAAAATGGATCAAAGACAAACATAAGACCTAAAACTATGAAACTCTTAGAAGAAAACACGGGAAAAGCTTCATGACAGTGCATATGGCAATCATTTTTTTGGATAATACCAAAAGCAGAGGCAACGAAAGTAAACATAGAAAAACTGGACTCCTTCAAAATTAAAAACTTGTGTGCATCAAAAAAATACAATCAACAGAATAAAAAGGAAACCTATAGAATGGGAGAACATTATTTATGTATCCTATATCTGATAAAAGGTTATATCCAGCATATACAAAGAACTCCTACCACTCAATTACAGAGAACAAACAGCTCAGTTAAAAAGTGGGCAAAGGACTTGAATAGACATTTCTCCAAAGAGAAATGGCCAATAAGCACATAAAAATATGCTTAACGTCACTAATCATGAGGGAAATGCAAATCAAAACCATAATGAGATAGCATCTCATAATAAGATGGCTTTGGTAAAAACAAAAACAAACAAAATAATGTGTTAGTATATGGAGAAATTGGAACCCTGTGCATGTTGGTGGGAATGTAAAATGGTGCAAATGCCATGGAAAACTATGGAGGGTCCTCAAAAAATTGAAAATACTACCATATGATCTTACTTTTGGGTATATATAGAAAAGAATTGAGAGCAGAGTTTCAAAGAGATATTTGTACACTCATGATTACAGCAACATTATTCACAACAGCCAAGATGTAGAGGTAACTCAAGTGTTCATCGACAGCTGAATGGAAAAATAAAATGCGGTATATACTTAACAATGGAGTATTATTCAGCCTTAAAAAAGAATATGCCGATGCAGGGGACACGGGTTCATGCCCCGGTCTGGGAAGATCCCACATGCCGCGGAGCAGCTGGGCCCGTGAGCCATGGCCGCTGAGCCTGCACGTCCGGAGCCTGTGCTCTGCAATGGGAGAGGCCACAACAGTGAGAGGCCTGCATACCGCAAAAAAAAAAAAAAAAAAAAATTCTGACACATCCAGCAATGTGAATGAACTTTGAGGATGTGATGCTGAGACAGGCTGGGACCTGGGATCCTCTACTGGAGTGCTTGCACCTGGACAAACATCTCCTTGAGCAGTAGGATACAAAGAAACTATAAGTGACTAAAAATAACTGCATGCAGGAGCAGTTGGGGCATCATGACCCCTATACGAGCTTTGTGGGGAGGCAGTAGTGAGCAAGTCCGCCATTTTGGGGGTGCCGGGAGCAAAAGCAGGGTACTGCACATGATCCCTGCACACGGCACCACCAAGGGGAACAGACCACCTAAGCTCTGCCTCCTGCCCAACCCATGGAGCTGCCCGTTATCCCATTTAAGGACCCAAGCATTTCCTCCTGGGGAGTGGGCAAGGATGTCTGTTTCTTGCTTTGACTCCCTCGTGCTGTAACATGAGCCCCAGTAATGCCTTGCCTGAAATTCTCTGGCCTCTTATGAATGTCTATTGATTAAAGAGTCCAAGGGCCTGGGTCGATAACAATTCCACTTCTGTGAGGTGTATCGGGTAGTCAAATTCTTAGAAAGTCAAAGAACAGATTAGGTGAACTTGATCAAAGGCAACAGCAGAGTGGGAAAATAAAGAGAAGGGAAACATTAAGAAAAGTATGACATTTACATTCTAATCAAGTGTCCACTGAGAACTGCCTCCAAGTAGACTTGGACATACAGCTGAGAAATGCAAATCAACCACCTGACATCCTTTTCTCTATTCCTTCCTCCTAAGTGCAAACTTGGGATAAACTCTAATTGAGATCACTTGTGCCCAACATGCTGTGCCACCAGAAATGATGCTTTCAGGATTGACATCTTATTAAAAAGGTTCATGGGAACATGACCATCACAAGAACCAAAGACCCCAAAAGAGGCCATGTCAGCAACTGCCCAATACCTCAGGACTAAGGTGCTGTAGGAGTTCCACGCAGGCTGTAAAAGCCATTACACACGAGGTCTTTGTTTGCTAGATGCCACTAATAAGGTGATGCCTAATGCTTCATACAGAGCACCCTCACCGTGCCTGGCACATAGCAGGGACTTAAGGGATAAACGCATCATGCATATCTACGGAAAGACCATTTGATGTTTTCCATTAAAGCCTCATACCATACACAGGATTGGACACAGATGTTGACCTGGTGTCCCATGTGAAAAACACCATGTGCAAAAAAAATTCTGTGACGTGGATGTGGGCCTCTCCTAGCGTGCTGGCACTAAGGAAGGGGAGACCCCAGTGCAGCCCAGCCAGTTACTCTAGGAAATCAGTGAGTGTCAAACACAACGTGTTCTAGGATTAGACAGACCTGCTTAACGTGGATTTTAGAATGCAGGCTGTGCTTACTCTTCCCTGATTCTGGCACCCTCCTTTCTCTGCTCAGTAGTGGGGACCTCTGTGGAGAGCTCTCTCCTGCCTCGCAGTCTCTGCAGCTCTCAGGTACAGTGAACAACCAGAGAACAGCAGGTATGTCAGTCTAGCTCAACGACACCCTTGGTGGTTCATAAAATGAAGGACTTACAAGGACTGTACAGAGAAAATCAGCAGCATAGGCTTCTGGTGAAATAGGTGGTAAAAATACTAACAAAAGTATGATCTCTTATTTTCTTTCCAATTTTAAGAAACACAGAAGGTGGAACTTCCAGTACAGGTTCAATTATTGGCTTATTCATTAGACTTTGGTTCCAGATTGCCAAAACACTGCAGGCCTTGCCTCATGGGAGGGAGGAGGGCCTGGCTGTGGGGCTACGTGAGAAGATGGGACACCGGAGGGAGAAGGTGAGGAGACATTTAGTAAACACCAGTCACCTGCTAGGCGTGGGCTTGGCTCATTCTCAAAACCATCCTATTTAATAAGAGCTTTTACTCTCCCAATGTCATAGATGATGGGTAAATAACCTGCTCAAGGTCAAGTAGCCAATAACTGGGCATAGTAGTCTTACAGTTTATGATGAATGTCATGGGGTCATACAGGAGCTGGCCTTGACCTACATGCTAGGAATTCCAAGGAATGCCTCACACTGGCCCGCGTGCAGTCACGTAAACACGTACACACATGTGTATGAGGCTACTTGCAGTCTCACACAAACCCCATGGATTGGGAAAGGAATAGTTGCCTTTAAAAAGGGAATGGGGCAATTCCTCGGTGGCACAGTGGTTAAGAATCCACCTGCCAATGCAGGGGACACGGGTTCGAGCCCTGGTCCAGGAAGATCCCACATGCCATGCAGCAACTAAGCCCATGTGCCACAACTACTGAGCCTGCGCTCTAGAGCCCACAAGCCACAACTACTGAGCCCACGTGCCTAGAGCCCATGCTCCACAACAAGAGAATCCACCATAATGAGAAGCCCGCGCACAGCAACGAAGACCAAACGCAGCCAAAAATAAAATATAAAATAAATAAATTTATTTAAAAAAATAAGTAAAAAATAAAAAGGGAATGAAGACTTGTTTTAAGACAAGGAAAGTCAGGAAGGCTTGTAGGGCAAAATGCAGGAGTGGGGTTAAGAACAGGGGTTAAGTCCGCATCGTTCAGCTGCTTGCCAGTGCCTATCTCAAAGGAGACGAGGTTTACAGATGAGAAGACAGACAAAGGGCAGAAAAGAGAGGATTCTAAGCCACTCTGCTGGACTTCCAGCTCTCCTCCACTGTCACCTGAATGGAGAGAGAATACCTGGCTCTGAAGCCTCAAACCTTCTGCTCCTCAGAAGCCCAGACCCAACACTGCATTCCAGACCCTGGAGACCTGGGAAGACGCCATACTCTTTAAGCCAAAAGGTGTCGGCAGGACAGGGTTCAGGATGACCCAACACAAAATATTTTTGAAATTGGAAAATTAAAAATACTGAAAAGAAAATAAGCAGTAACCCAGAATGCCAGGAACAGCCTAGCAGCAGAACCTACCCTGAGGTCCAGGCTGCAGTGGGCTTGCGGGCTTTGGGGAGGTCAGAAGCCAGAAAGCAGGTTCAGTGTTCAGCTCCAAGCAGTGAGTCCACACAGGATTCCCAACCTCCTGCCATCCTGAGCACCTGGGTCCTCAGCAGATCTCCAGACCACAACCCAGCATCTGTCCCCTGCATGCGCTTCCTGGAACAGAAAGAGTTCTTTGGTCCATCTTGTTTATTACTCTGCCTCTCAAAGGAAGCCATGAGCTCAAATAGGATTTACATATCTAACCTTGGTGATGACAGAAAAATAACTGCTTTCAAGTTTGTTAGCTCCTCAGCATGATGAAGCCCCAGGGTTTTAGTGAAATGAGTGCTTGACAAGCTGGAGTTAAAACCTAAGGGTAAGTTTCCCTGTGAGTTTTTGCCCTTGGTGTAAATCTCAGTGCTGACTAGCAACTTGATCTCTAGTGCCCTAGGGGGTTTTATGGATGAGACACAGGAGGAGAGAGCATTTGGAGTTTGGGTTTATTAGGTATGTGCAACTGCCCTCAACATACTTCTGGTCTCAAAGGAGTTGAAACCCTCTATTACTGCCTATGAGTTTCCCTCTCCCTCTCTAGCTGCAGCCACCACAACTATTTCATTTGTTAATCCTTCTTGGGTTAGATTTCTGCAGGGCATTAAAAAAAAAACTGTGGTAAAATACACAAACATAAATTTACCATTGTAACCATTTTTGAGTGCACATTTCATTAGTGTTACATACGTTTACATTATTGTGCAACCAACTTCCAGAACATTTTCATCTTGCAAAACACCGAACTCCCTATTTTTCTCTCCCCAGCCTTTGGCAATAACAGTTCTATTTTCTGTGTCTATGTATGTGACTACTCTAGACACCTCACACAAGTAGAATCATAGCAGTATTTGCGTTTTTGTTACTGGCTTATTTCACTTAACCGAATATCTGTTTTCAAGGTTCATCTACGTTGTAGCATGTATCAGAATTTCCTTCCTTTTTAAAGTTGAGTAATATTCCATTTACATATATACCACATTTTATTTATGCATTTATCCATCGATGAACATTTGGGTTGCTTTCACTTCTTAGCTATTGTGAATAATGCATGTGTACAAATCTTTCTTTGAGATTCTGCTCTCAGTTCTTTTAGAGGTTGTATTGTTATCAACTTTTTCAGGAACCTCCATATTGTTTTCCATCGGGGATGGAACCACATTTTACATTCCCACCAAGAGTGCACAGGGTTCCAGTTTCTCCACATCCTTCTCATCACTTGTAATTTTCTAGTTTTTGTGTTGTTTTTGAGCATAGCCATCTTAATGGATGTGAGGTATATTGTAGTTTTTTGCATTTCCTTCTTGAGTAGTGATGTTGAGCATCTTTTCATGTGCTTACTGGCCATTTTTCTCTCTTCCTTGAAAAATTTCTATTCAAGTCCTTTGTGCATTTTAAAATTGTGGGTTTTCATTTTGTTGTTGAACAAGATATCTTTTATTTAACAACTTTAAATCTTTTTGAAGTATTACATATTTCTAATATTATATCATACATATCTCAAGCATGAAAATATAAAATTCACACTGTTCTCATTAGTGTAGAATGGAATCTGAGGCTCTCTTAATGACAATACTGTCATTATAAACAAATTTGGAAATCAAAATTTAAGAGAGAATGAGTGTCTTGTCCAGCATTTGTTCAGTGATAACCCTCAGCGACCCCTGAGCTGCAGCCTGTTGCTGCCCCCAACTGCTTTGTGAGTTCTCTGCCTTTTAGAGTTTTCAGGTTCCTCCCCTCTCAGGTTGTCTTAATCACATTCTTATCTCTATGAATATGCTTCCCTCAAGTTTTCCACTCACAGTTTTAAGTTCTGACTTCCACTGTGCTTTAGTTTAGGGAACAAGAAAGCTCTGAGTCTCATTAACAAGTCAAGAATATAAATTTAATGTATTTTCTACATGGAATCATTTTGGTTTTGGAGTATCTTTGTTTGTTTGTTTTGCAGTACGCGGGCCTCTCACTGTTGTGGCCTCTCCCGTTGTGGAGCACAGGCTCCAGACGCGCAGGCTCAGCGGCCATGGCTCACGGGCCCAGTCGCTCCGCAGCATCTGGGACCTTCCCGGACCGGGGCACGAACCCGCGTCCCCTGCATCGGCAGGCGGACTCTCAACCACTGCGCCACCAGGGAAGCCCTGGAGTATCTTGATTATATTTAGAATAGTTGAGGTTGTCCGATAAATGACAATTAGATAAAGGAGGTATTGGCCAGCCAAGACTATATTAGGCACAGAAATGAAATTCTAGAAAAGGAGATGAGATGAAGAATCAGGGTAAAAAACTACTGAGGTATGAAGAGGGAAAAGAGGGAGGGAGGGAGGGAGAGAAAGGCAGGGATAAACAGCTCATAATTACTGAGAAAACTTCTAGGGGGCTGGGCATTGCCAGAGGACTGTGCTTGCATTAACTCATTTTATCCTCATAGCCTATGGGATAGGTTATTGTTGTTAACCTGATTTGAGGATGAGAGAACTAAGGCACAGGGAACATACACAGCCTCCCCAAGGTCATACAGCTAACAAACGATATATTAGTTATCTTTTGCTATACAGTAAATTACCACAAATTCAACAGCTTAAACTAGCACAGTTTCAGTGCATCAGGAGTCTGAAATTCAGTGGGTCAGCTTGGCTGGGTAGTCAAGGTGTCAACTGGGCTGTGCTTGAATCTGGAGGCTTAACTAGGGAAAAAGCCACTTAAGCTCATTCAGGTTGTTGGCAGAATTCATTAACTTGTAGAACTGAGGGATCCGGCTTCTTGTGGACTGTTGGCTGAAGAGGTATCTGCATCTCCATGTTCATTGCAGCATTACTGACAAAACTGCCAAGATCTGAAAACAACCTAAGTGTCCGTCGACAGATGAACTCATAAAAACTATGGGGCATGTGCACATACACATACTTTTCCTGCACGCACACACAGAGTAATATTCAGCCTTACAAAAGAAAAAAATCTGCTATTTGTGACAACATGCATGAACCTTATGCTGAGTGAAATAAGCCAAGCATAGAAAAATATTGCATGATCTCACTTACATGTGGAATCTGGTGGTTGCCAGGGTTTGAGGGGGGTGGGGAAGAGAGGAGATGCTGGTCAAAGGGTACAAAGATTCAGTTATGTGGGATGAGTAAGTTCTGGAGTGGTATTGTATACCATGGTGACTATAGTTAGTAATACTGTATTGTATACTTGAAATTTGCTAAAAGAGTTGATCTTAAGTGTTCTCACCACACACATAAATTGTAACTATGTGAGGTGATGGATATGTTAATTAGCGTAATTGTGGTAATCATTTCACAATGTATACATGTATCAAATCATCACATTGTATAGTGTACACTATACACTAAATGTTTATGACCCCCACCCCCAATTCTGTATGTTGAAATCCTAATCTCTGGAGGTGATATTAAAAGGTAGGGCTGGGCTTCCCTGGTGGCGCAGTGGTTGAGAGTCTGCCTGCCAATGCAGGGGACATGGGTTCGTGCCCCGGTCCGGGAGGATCCCACATGCCGCGGAGCGGCTGGACCCGTGAGCCATGGCCGCTGAGCCTGCGCGTCCGGAGCCTGTGCTCCGCAACGGGAGAGGCCACAAAAGTGAGGGGCCCGGGTCCCAAAAAAAAAAAAAAAAAAAAAAAGGTGGGGCCTTTGGAGGTGACTAGGTCATGAGGGGGAAGCCCCAGAGAGATCCCTCGCCCCTTCTGTTCTGTGAGGACACACCATTTATGAACCAAGAAAAAAGTTCTCACCAGACACCAAGCCTGCCAGCATCTTGATCTTGGACTTTTCAGCCTTCAGAACTGTGACAAAGAAATTTCTGTTGTTTATAAGCCACCCAGTCTATGACATTTTGTTACACCAGCCCAAATGGACTAAGACATACATCTAAAATATACACAGGGACTTCCCTGGTGGTCCAGTGGTTAAGACTCCACCTTCCAATGCAGGGGACACAGGTTTGATCCCTGGTCGGGGAACTAAGATCCCACATGCCACGGGGCAACTAAGCCCATGCGCTCTGGAGCCCGTGCACCACAACTAGAGAGCCTGCGTGCCGCAATTACTGAGCCTGTGTGCTCTGGAGCCTGGGTGCCGCAATTAGAGAGCCTGTGCACCACAACTAGAGAGCCCCACAACTAGAGAGAAGCCCGTGTGCCGCAACTATTGAGCCCACGCGTTCTGTAGCCCACGTGCAGCAACTACTGAGCCCGCATGCTTTGGAGCACACACACCACAACTAGAGAGAAGCCGCGCACCGCAATGAAGAGCCAGCATGCCGCACCTAAGACCTGATGCAGCCAAATAAATAAACATATTTTTTTAAAATGTAGTCACGGCTTGAGATAACCCCTGTACGCATCTGGTTGAGAAAGAAAGGGGATTAAATAAATAAAAATAAAACATACACAATTTTTATTTGCCAAGTATATAACTCAGTAAAGCAAGAGAGGGACTTCCCTGGTGGCACAGTGGTTAAGAATCTGCCTGCCAATGCAGGGGACACGGGTTCAAGCTCTGGTCCAGGAAGATCCCACGTGCCATGGAGCAACTAAGCCCGTGAGCCACAACTATTGAGCCCACGTGCCACAACTACTGAAGCCCACACACCTAGAGACCATGCTACACAACAAGAGAAGCCACCGTGATGAGAAGCCCACGCACCGCAACCAAGAATAGCCCCTGCTTGCTGCGACTAGAGAAAGCCCGTGCGCAGCAATGAAGACCCAATGCAGCCAAATTAATTAACTAATTAATTAAAAAATAAAGCAAGAGAAATAAACAAAAAATACTTAAAACACTTAAAAATAAACCTTATATGAGAAATATGAAAGCCCTTAAACACACAACAATAAAATAGTGAGAGCAACAGAAAATCGAAATAAATGGAGGCATATACTGAGTTCACAGATAGGGAGACTAAATTTTATGAAGGTGTTAATTTTCTTCAAGTTGGTAAGAATATCCCATTCAAAACCACAATTGTTTGTGTGTGCGTGTTTGTATGTGTGCATATAAATTGACAAGCTGGTCGTAAAACTCATTTGGAAATGCAATGATACAAGAATAGTTAACATGTTTTTGAAAAAGAACAGTGTCAAAAAATTTTCTCTACCAGATATTAATATGTATTATAATAAGAGAGTAATTAAGACAACGTGGTACTGGGAAATGGAAGAACAAATAGGCTGATAAAAGAGAACACAGACCCCAGATACACTTATAAACATAGAGACAGCTGACATCACTGAAGTGCAGTGCAAAAAGGACTTATCTTTTCAATAAACGGTGCAGGAACAATCTGTAGATCTGAGAATAAAACCTGACATCTACCTCACACTATACACAAAAACCTATTCCAGATATACTTCAGAGCTAAATTTAAAAGGCAAAACATCCAAGTATCTAAAAGATAACACAAATATGTTGTTGTACAGAAAGACTTCTTAAATAGAGCACAAACAAAGCACTAACCATAAAGGAAAAGAATGAATTTCTCTAGTTCAAAATTAAGAACTTCCCTTCATCAAGAGACACCACTAAGGCTATGACAAAGCAAGCCACAGAGGGAGAGAGAATATCTGCCATAGATATAACAGATGAAGGAGTCATATCTAGAATATATAAAGAATATTTACAAATTGCTAAGAAAAAATAAACTCAAAAACATTTCATAACAGTGCAAATTCAATGGCTCATACAAATCTGAAAAGCTCAACCCCATTAACAATAAGGGAAATGAAAACCAAAACCACAGAAAAACACCATTATATACCCACCAAAATGGTCAAAGTTAGGAAGATCAAAAATACCAAGTAGTCAGAAAGGATGAGCAGCTGCCAGGAGTCTTTGGAGTATGTTGTTCAGTGTAGACTGTAGAAGTTTAATTGGCTTTAATTGGCTTTTATATATATTACCTGCTTTCCATTCCTGTTCAGAGTTGGGCCATTTGTATTTTCTGGAAGATTTCCTTTGGGAGCCCTGGAAGAAAACACCACTCATCAAGTATTCCAAATCCTATGTCCAGATGTACAAACACTGTATTAGGAAATAGCTGTATCCACACTGACCATTATCATCTGAAGATTATCCAAACAGAATTTGTCTAAAATTCCATATTTTCTGTTTGGAAATGCTTCCATTTCATTACCTCTGTGAAGGAGGAGTCTTCTGAAATATTTCACTATGCTGCAGACATATCTGGAAACATCGTTAAGAAATTACCTTGTTCTACTTTTTTTTTTTTGTTTTTGAGGAATTACATCATTTAGCAAGAACTTTGAGGAAGGTGAGCTTGCAAAAGAAACTAAAAAAATATATGTATATGTACACACACATATTCTTTATCCATTCACCCATCAATGGACACTTAGCTTGTTTGCGTATCTTGCTACTGTGAATAATGCTGCAATGAACATGAGAGGGCAGGTATCTCTTTGAAAAAATGATTTCTTTTCCATTGGATATATACCGAGATGGGGTTGTTTGGTCATATGGTAGTTCTATTTTTAATTTTTTGAGGAACTTCCATACTGTTTTCCATAATTGTAAACTTGAAATGTGTTAAGAGAGTAGATCTTAAGTGTTCTCACTACAAAAAAAGGTAACTATGTGAGATGATGAGTGCGTTAACTGTGATTATCACTTCACAATGTGTATATATATAAAATTACCACAGTATAAACTTTAACAACTCACATTGCACAAACTAAAATAAATTAAAAAAAAAAAAAGGGACTTCCCTCGTGGCTGAGTGGCTAAGAATCCGCCTGCCAATGCAGGGGAAACGGGTTTGATCCCTGGTCCAGGAAGATCTCACATGTCACGGAGCAACTAAGCCCATGTGCCAAAACTACTGAGCCTGTGATCTAGAACCCACGAGCCACTACTGAGCCTGTGCGCCACAACTACTGAGCCCACATGCCTAGAGCCTGTGCTCTGCAACAAGAAGCCACTGCAACAAGACGCCCGCGCACCGCAACGAAGAGTAGCCCCCGCTTGCTGCAACTAGAGAAAGCCCGCGTACAGCAATGAAGACCCAACGTGACCAAAAATATATAACTTTAATATATATATATATATATATATATGGCAGTAGGTCTTGCTCTCACCTTTTTTAAAGACAAAGATCCTGAGGTGGAGTCAAGATGGCAGTGTGGGAAGATGCAGAGTTAGCGTCTCCTCACAACTAGGGCACCTGCCGGCCACTGGTGGGGGACTCTGATGCCCAAGAAGATGGGAGGAACCCCAAAGTGAACTGGTAGGACGTGGGGAGACTGAGAAGGGAGGAGAAGCGGAGGTCAGACAGGATCAGTGCTCCTGAGGCCAGGGAGATCAGGAGAGGCAGGCGGGAGGGACTTTCTGGGAAGAGTGGGAGAGGAGTGGAGGGCATCGCCCAGCCCACTTGGACCAGAGAGCCTGCTGAGCTCCCAGGCTGGTACCCCCACTCCAAATCCCCCTCCAGTATGAGTGGGTCCTGGGGTCATAAGACGGAGGCCGGGGAGATCAGGTGAGGCAGGTGGGAAGAGCCATCCTGAGGAGCGGGAGAGGAGCAGAGGGCAATTGCCCTGACCACTTGGGCCCCGGGAGCCTGCTGAGCTCCCAGGCTGGTCCCCTGCCCTCCAAGTCTCCCCTTTCCCCCACTGGCTGCATTGGTCCTGGGGGCATAGGAGGGAGGCCAGGAGATCAGGAGAAGTAGGCAGGAGGAGGCCTCCCAGACCCGAGGAGCAGGAGAGGAGGGCGTTTGCCCCACCCACTCGAGCCCAGGAAGCCTGCTGGGCTCCCAAGTGAAGTCTCCCGCCCTCTGAGACCAGGGATGGGGGGCATGCCTGGGCCCCTTCTGTTCCTTGACCCTAAGCCCCACCCCCCAGAGCCCCCAAGGCCTTTTCCAGCCCTGTGGGTCCTGAGCATTTGCCCCACCCACTGCCCAAACCTCGCCCTTACTTAGGCCCCACCCTCCACAGCCAAGGCCTTTCCTCCCTGCTCTTTTTTTTCTTCTTTACTATTGTGGTACTGATGTACCTTTCGGTTGTTGATTCATCTATATTTTTATTTTTATACTCTTTCTAACGTATCTGTTAGTTTCCTAGTCTAGTTTTATTTTTTGCTTTGTTATTGTTGTTTTTTTTTTTGCTGCCCCATGCAGCTTGCAGGATCTTGGGTCACGAGCTGGGACTGGGCTGAAGCTGCTGCAGTAGGAGTTCTGAGTCCGAACCACTGGACTAACAGAGAACCTCAGACCTTCATCAGAGTGAAGACTCACCGAGTTCCTCATCTCAGCACCAAGACCCAGCTCTACTGAATAACCTACAAACTCGTGTTGGAAGCCTCAGGCCAAACCATCAGTAAGACAGGAACACAATCCCACTCATAAAGAAAAAAAAAAAAAATGAGACAGCAAAAAAATATGTCACAGATGAAGGAGCAAGGTAAAAACCGACAAGACCAAATAAATGAAGAGGAAATAGGCAATCTACCTGAAAAAGAATTCAGAGTAATGATAGTAAAGATGATCCAGAATCTTGGAAATAGAATGGAGGCACAGAATGAAAAAATACGAGAAATGTTTAACAAGATCTAGAAGAGCTAAAGTACAAACAGAGATGAACAACACAATAACTGATCTGAAAAATACACTAGAAGGAATCAGTAACAGAATAACTGTGGCAGAAGAATGAATAAGTGAGCTGGAAGACAAAATAGTGGAAATAATTGCTGAGGAGCAGAATAAAGAAAAAAGAATGAAAAGAACTGAAGACAATCTCAGAGACCTCTGGGACAACACTAAACACACCAACATTCGAATTATAGGGGTCTAAGAAAAAGGAGAAAAAAAGAAAGGGTCTGAGAAAATATTTGAAGAGATTATAGTCGAAAATTCCCTAACATGGGAAAGGAAATAGTCACCTGAGTCCAGGAAGCACAGAGAGTCCCATACAGGATAAACCCTAGGAAAAACAAACCAAAACACATATTAATCAAACACACAAAAATTAAAGTCAAAGAAAAAATATTAAAAGCAGCAAGGGAAAAACAAAAGATAACATACAAAGGAATCCCCATAAAGTTATCAGCTGATTTTTCAGCAGAAACTCTTCAGGCCAGAAGGGAGTGTCAGGAAATACTTAATGTGATGAAAGACAAAAACCTACAACCAAGATTACCCAGCAAGGATCTCATTCAGATTCAATAGAGAAATCAAAAGCTTTACAGACAAGCAAAAGCTAAGAGAATTCAGCACCACCAAACCAGCTCTACAACAAATGCTAAAGTAATTTCCCTAAGCAGGAAAAAAAAGGGAAGAAATGGCTTCACAAGTGAATTCTATCAAATATTTAGAGAAGAGCTAACACCTAGCCTTCTCAAACTCTTCCAAAATACAGCAGAGGGAGGAACACTCCCAAACTCATTCTACAAGGCCACCATCACCCTGATACCAAAACCAGACAAGGATGTCACAAAGAAAGAAAACTACAGGCCAATATCACTGATGAACATAGATGCAAAAATCCTCAACAAAATACTAACAAACAGAATCCAACAGCACATTAAAAGGATCATACACCATGATCAAGTGGGGTTTATTCCAGAAAGGCAAGGACTCGTCAATATACGCAAATCAATCAACGTGATACACCATATTAACAAATTGAAGGAGAAAAACCATATGATCATCTCAATAGATGCAGAGAAAGCTTTCGACAAAATTCAACACCCATTTATGATAAAAACCCTGCAGAGAGTAGGCATAGAGGAAACTTTCCTCAACATAATAAAGGCCATATATGACAAACCTACAGCCAACATCGTCCTCAATGGTGAAAAACTGAAAGCATTTTCACTAAGTCAGGAAGAACACAAGGTTGCCCACTCTCACCACTCTTATTCAACATAGTTTTGGAAGTCCTAGCCATAGCAATTAGAGAAGAAAAAGAAAAGGAATAGAAATTGGAAAGACGAAGTAAAACTGTCACTGTTTGCCAATGACAGGATACTATATATAGAAAATCGTAAAGATGCCACCAGAAAACCATTAGAACTAATCAATGAATTTGGTAAGGTTGCAGGATACAAAATTAATGCACAGAAATCTCTGCCAGTCCTATACACCAACAATGAAAAATCAGAAAGAGAAATTAAGGAAACACTCCCATTTACCACTGTAACAAAAAGAATAAAATACCTAGGAAAAAAACCTGCCTAAGAAGGCGAAAGACTTGTACTCGAAATATACCATGTTCTTAGACTGGAAGAATCAATATTGTGAAAATGACTACACTACCCAAAGCAATCTACAGATTCCATGCAATCCCTATCAAACTACCCATGGCATTCTTCACAGAATTAGTAAAAAAAAAATCTTACAATTCGTATGGAAACACAAAAGACCCAGAATAGCCAAAGCAACCTTGAGAAAGAAAAACGGAGTTGGAGGAATCAGGCTCCCCGACTTCAAACTGTACCACAAAGTTACAGTAATCAAGACAGTATGGTACTGGCACAAAAACAGAAATATAGAGCAATGGTACAGGATAGAATGCCCAGAGATAAACCCACGCATATATGGGCACCTAATTTATGACAAAGGAGGCAAGAACATACAATGGAGAAAAGACAGTCTCTTCAATAAGTGGTGCTGGGAAAACTGGACAGCTACATGTAAAAGAATGAAATTAGAACACTACTGAACACCATACACAAAAATACACAAAAATAAAATATCCAAATGGATAAAAAACTTAAATGTAAGACCAGACACTAAAAAACTTTTAGAGGAAAACATTGGAAAAACACTCTTTGACATAAACCACAGCAAGATCTTTTCTGACCCACCTCCTAGAGTAACAGAAATAAAAACCAAAATAAACAAATGGGACCTAATTGCACAGCAAAGGAAACCATAAACAAGACGAAAAGACAACTCTCAGAATGGGAGAAAATATCTGCAAACAAAGTAACTGACAAAGGATTAATCTCCAAAATATACAAGCAGCTCATGCAGCTCAATATCAAAAAAACAAACAACCCAATCCAAAAATGGGTAGAAGCCCTAAATGGACATGTCTCCAAAAAAGATATACAGATTACCAACAAACACATGAAAAGATGCTCAACATCACTAATCATTAGAGAAATGCAAATCAAAACTACAGTGAGGTATCACCTCACACCAGTGAGAATGGCTATCATCAAAAAAATCTACAAACAATAAATGCTAGAGAGGGTGTGGAGAAAAGGAACCCTCTTGCACTGTTGGTGGGAATGTAGATTGGTACAACCACTATGGACAACAGTATGGAGGTTCCTTAAAAAAAACTAAAAATAGAATTACCATATGACCCAGCAATCCCACTACTGGGCATATACCCTGAGAAAACCATAATTCAAAAAGAGACATGTACCATAATGTTCACTGCAGTACTATTTACAATAGCCAGGACACAGAACCAACCTAAATGTCCATCAACAGATGAATGGATAAAGAAGATGTAGCACATAGATACAATGAAATATTACGCAGCCATAAAAAGAAACGAAACTGAGTTATTCGTAGTGAGGTGGATGGACCTAGAGTCTGTCGTAGAGTGAAGTCAGAAAGACAAAAACATATCCATATGCTAAAGCATATATATGGAATCTTAAAAAACAAAACGGTACTGATGAACCTAGGTGCAGGGCAAGAATAAAGAGGCAGACGTAGAGAATGGACTTGAGGACATGGGGTGGGAGGGGGAAGCTGGGGCAAAGTGAGAGAACTGTTGACATATATACACTACCGAATGTAAAATAGTTGGCTGGTGGGTAGCAGCAGCATACAACAGGGAGATAGGCTCGGTGCTTTGTGACCTAGAGGAGTGGGATAGGGAGGATGGGAGGGAGGCTCAAGAGGGAGGGCATATGAAGACATGTGTATGCATATGGCTGATTCACTTTGTTGTGCAACAGAAACTAACAGTATTGTGAAGCAATTATACTCCAAAAAAGATTAAAAAAAAAAAAAAAAAAGATCCCAGGAATTCACACTGTAGTGTGGCACCATCTGGCAGTTCCAGTTCCAATTTAGCCCTGTTCTTGTTTCTTCCAAAAGATAGTTTTTGACCCTTGATCATCTGCCACCACCCTCCAAATAGAAGGCAGCACGGCTAACACATCCCTCATCATCAAATCTAAACGTATGTAGAGGTTTTTAATAATGAGATTAGGCACCTTTTCCTGTTTATTGGACAGTTTCCCCTCTTTTATGAAGTGCTTCTTTAATTCTTTTACCCATTTTTCTATTGGGTGCTCTTTTTCCTTTTTTATTTTTTAAATTTATTTAATTAATTTATTTGGGGGCACATTGGGTCTTTGTTGCTGCATGCGGGCTTTCTCTAGTTGCAGCGAGTGGGGGGCTATGCTTCGTGGCAATGAACAGGCTTCTCACTGCAGTGGCTTCTCTTGTTGCAGAACATGGTCTCTAGGTGTGCAGGCTTCAGTAGTTGTAGCACGTGGACTCAGTAGTTGTGGTTTGCGGGCTCTAGAGCGCAGGTTCAGTACTTGTGGCACACGGGCTTAGTTGCTCCTCGGCATGTGGGATCTTCCCAGACCGGGGCTCGAACCCATGTCCCCTCCATTGGCAGGCGGATTCTTAACCACTGCGCCACCAGGGAAGCCCTGGGTGCTCTTTTTCTTTTGATGGAAAGAAGTACTTTGTATATTCTGGATACCTGTGCTTTGAAGGGTATATAAATTACAATATATTTTACAACTCTATGGGCTTGTGTTCTTTTAAACTGTATTTTTTGGATGAACATGTTTTTAATTTTAAGACAGTTGAATATACCAATCATTTCCTTTATTTTTAGTGTTTTCTTATGAGGATCTTACTTAACAAATCCCTACTACTGCTGAGATTTTGTTACATAGTATTATTACTTCTATAAAATTTTAGTATAACACAGATAAGGCCATCCAGGACAAGTTTTCTTTATGGAAAGGTTTTTAAATGACAGACTCAACTTCTTTAACAGTTATAAAACAACTAAATTTTCCTTCTTATTACAGTTTTGGAAGTTTTGTTTTTCTATGTTTATTTCATCCACATTTTAATTATTCAAAGTGTCTTTCTCTTTAATGACTATAATGACTGTTTTATGTTTCTAACATTGGTTAGTTTTGCCATTTTTCTTTTTCCTTGATCATCCTCACCAAGAGTTTAGCATTAGTCTTTTAAAAGAATATATACTGCTTTGCTAATTCTTTTTTTTTTTACGTGTTACATATTTCTGCTATTATTTTCTTCCATCTATTTGAATTTAATTTGCTATTATTCTGGTTTCTCGAGAAGAATGTTTAGCTAATTCATTTTTAGCCTTTCTACTTTTCTAATATATGCACTTAAGGCTATACAATTCCTTTTAATCAAATCCAAAAGGTTTTGATATTCCTATTTTCATTCAGTTCAAAATAATCTCTACCTTCCAACAGGTTACTGGGAGGTACATTCTTTAACTTCCAAATTTTGTAATTTTTGTTTCTAATTTCTCATTTAATTCTGTTGCAGACAGCCTTCTCTATATGAGTCCAACCCTTTGAAATTTGTTACTAGTTTCTTTATGGCCCAATATATAGTTAACTTTGATAAATGCTCCATGATCACCTAGAAGTAATGTGTATCTTGCAGTTGTTGTTAATTCAGTGTTTTATACAGGTTCATTAGATTGTGTTGGTTGTGTTGTTCCAATCTTCTATATCCTTACTGATTTGGGGGTGGAGCAGGGAGAATGTGGGTGTATGCCTTCATTTACTGAGAGAGTTGTATTAAAATTTTATATGTGGATTTCTGCTTCTGGTCAAGATGGAGAAGCTACCATTTTACCCTCCTGTCTGAAACAACTGAAAAACTAGACAAAATGTATAAAACAAGGCCACTTAATACCCTGGACACCAGGCACTGAAGGACAGTAATCCTTGACAGCATAAGAAACAAAAGGGTGAGCCCTACACCATGGCCCCAGCTCACTGCCTGGAGAAAATTTCCAGGAGAATATAGAAAATTCAGAAGATTCTAAAACCTGTTGGGATTAATAAATGAATTGAGCAAGGTTGTTATATATAAGTCATTATAAAACAATTGTATTTCAATACTCTAGCAACAAATAAAAAATAAAAGACCTAAAAAGACACTTCATAAAAGACAGTATCCAAATGGCCAGTAAGCATTTGAAAAGATGCTTAGCATTACTAGTAATTATAGAAATTAAAATTAAAACCACATAAAGATATCAGTACATACTCACCAGAATGCCTGGAATGAGAAAAATGAAAAATATCGTGTGTGGCAAGGATGATAGCAATGTCCCTTCTGTGAACACTTGGAAAAACAATAGGCTGACCAGGCTACTGGAGAGGAGGCCTCTGGGCCTCTCTTATCTTGGTTTAACAAATTCTTCTTGAAGGTAGTGAGACAGGGCTCACAGTTCCTGTGGTGTACTTATGGACCACTATATCCTTTAATTGCAGGTTCTGGGTCCTCAAAGTCAGACAAAAACAGTAGCATGTATTAAGTTTCCTAGGGCTGCTATTAATACATTACCAAAAATGGGTTGGTTGAAACAACAGGTGAGAAGACCAAAATCAAGATGTTGGCAGGGTGGCACTTCCTCTGGAGGCTCTAAGGAAGGAGCTCTTGCTTGTATCTTCTAGTTCCTGGTGGCTGTTAGTATTCTGCTGCCCACAGCTACAGCTCTCTTGCCGGCTTCACAGTGCCTCGTCCTCTGTGTTATCGCCCTTTGCCTCTCTAAGGACACTTGTGATAGCATTTAGGGCCCACCCAGAGAATCCAAAGTAATTGCCTCATCTCAGAATGCTTAACTTTAATTAAATCTGCAAAGACCCTTCTCAGTAACCTTTAAAGTTCCAGGGATTAGAGCTTGATATTTTTAAGTAGTTATTATTCAACCTACTACACTTGTGTTTAGTATTTTCGAAATAAAGGAATAAACTAGTAACTGTGGAGAGATCAGGGGAAGGAGTGGCCCTGAGGAAACCTTGGTGTGTGTGTGTTGGGAGGGGGTAAACTGGGAGGAGGTAGAAGCCTTACCTAGCAGGGGAGTAATATTCTCTGGGTACAGAGGAGCGACTGGGAAACTTTACAAAGGAGTACTAAAGAAGAATTTCCCCCTTCTTTGCCAGGGTCCTAGGATCTGATCCCAATGAATAAATTACTGCACTTACATGTAAATGCACTTCCTGAAGGAGTGGGCAATAGGCATGCTGTGGTAGACCGAGCTAGCTGCCCATTCAATATCCATTCTTTCCTTCTTCACTGAAAAGAATACCACTTTTATTTGGAGCCATCCACTGCTCAGCTAAAAAAGTTCATTTCCCAGGTTTCCTTGCAGCCACTGGTCATGTGACAGTTTTGACTAGTGGGAGGTAAGCAGAATTATGCAAGTGGAGTTCTAGAAAAGCTGTTGTTTTGCTAATAAAAGGGCTACACATTTGCACCTTTCCTGCAAACCCTTCCATCTTGAAGCACTGCGGTGATGCCCTCAGGTGTAAACGTCAGAATCCATGAGACCGCAACAGAACTGTAGAATCCCCATACCAGCCCATAACAGTCTGCCAGTAGACTTTTCTGTTATAAAAGAAAAACAATCCAATAGGGTTTAAGCCACTGTTAAACTTGGTTTGTAGTCGAATACACTTTTAAAAAACTAAACAAAACAATAGCTAGCTGTTTCACAGATACGATAATGTCAACCATAATTGGACAATTCCAATTTTTCTGGAGACTTAAAACAAAAAATGCCTTCACACCAATGCAGGTCCCAGACTGGTCCTCTTGAATGGGTATATAACCTGCTCCCATACATTAGCCATAAAGTGCAGAGAAGGTTAATTAGATTCTTTATTGATTCCACCAATGTATTAGTAGATATGGTAATAGTAAATGGTACTTTTACATTCTCTTAACCAAAAATATAACAAATATTTACACTCAATAAAAATACAAAAAGCATACAGAGGCACTGTCTTTCTAAAAGACATAAGTTTAAGAGGTATCAAAAAATAGGAGACAAACATTGCTTGTTACAGGACACTTTACAATCACTGAATTGTGCAGTATAATTGCTATTTGATTATTATGACTGTGCAGTTTTGTTTTTGTCCTTTGCTGATCAGCTCACGTTTCAATTTTAAAAGGTTAACTACAACTGTATTCTGTGTATCAAAAGTAAAGAAGCCTTAAAAAAGCACAACAGAAGTTAAAGATGAACTGGGGTTCAAGTTTAAATTTGAAAATGTACTGTGACACTGTTTTGAAGATTTATCCCTTTGCTATACCACATTTACGGTAATACTAAAGGGATACATCTACTTTAATATCACATTTTTTAGAAACGTATGTATCAAAATAATAATCAGAGTCTTAAATATACAAGGAAACTCTTTCTCCCCTTCTTTTTAAAGGGGAGAAAACACTTTATAAAAATTAGAATTGATCTTGGATATCTCCACGATTACTGTCACATGTCAAGCCTACGAGAGATTCTCACGGTGGTTATGCAGATGATGACAATGTGACATCACCCTCATGAAAAACCATTTAAAGGCTTTTTCTCCCCAAATATCATACTGCAAGTAACCATTTGGAGAAAGCAAGACTCTATTAAATTACAATAAACCTTTATGGAAGTATATACTGGATTTACTAATTCTCCAAATCTTTCATTATGCAGAGATTTTTTTGTTGAAACTTATTATTTGGCAAAAGTTTGCAGTGAGGATTTACCACTTCAATGGCCCTGGCAGATTCAGAGTTGTGGTACAATGAGGGCATAGATCTCTTCAGTATACTTATAAATTTATAAAATAAAAACAAACGGGCATTTTGAATTGGAGCAAGCATAGGTTAAGGCTTCTCTTGTTCTAGTCACGTGACAAACTAAGAGAAGGCAGGAATGTACCGTAAATTAGAATATAAAGATCAAAACGCCACGATTTTTAAGGGATAAATACATATCAAACTAGAAAGCATTTGGCTTTAGTTCTTGATCAATGTGATCAGCTGATCCAAACACTCACATTTCAAGCTACAGGAAACAAAGGCAGCTACAAGATGCAAGTCCAAAACCACAAGCCTCTGACTCTCTGTGCAAGATATTATCCACAACATTGAGGACAACGATGGAGAAGGCTCCCATCTGGTTTGAAAGACCTGCTAAAAAAACAGATACTGTGCAAACAGCACATTTTTCCGGGGAGTGGATATAAAATGGTGAGAATAAATACCCAAACTGGATAAAAAGATGGTTGTAGCAAAAATATCTTTCACTTTGTTTTGCTCTGGACATGAAAATAATATTGTCTAAATCAGTGAAAGAAAAATTTATGATCACAGGACCACTGTTTATAGATCAAACCTTTACAGTGTGACTTTCAAACCAGGATTTTTGATCCAGGTTACTTTCCATTTCAATGGGCCAAGAAAGCTATGGAGCCAACTAGCCTCATTCTAACATACCTGGGGTTAATTTCTAAGGCTTAAGTTTCGTATTTACAGTTTTTGCCCATGGGAATTTTTCAGACATGCTATTTTTCCTAAAATGAAGAAATTATCATTTTGATAGAAAAGATGGACTACTGCCATTTACCAGTTGGCACTGATTTATGATTTTAAAATGAAGGAAATAGGAGGATGATAGAGAGAAGGAAGAGAGAGCTAGGAAAAAATGAGAACTTTTCAAAAGGAAGTAATAAGCCAACTAAATCCTATAAATTCACATACGGATAACCATTCAGAAGTAAACCTATTTTTGGCTCCAAGTTGATTTGGGTAGTACACATTAATAGCTTTGGCTTTTTTTTTTTTTGGTAGTCACAGAAGTTTATTAACCTTTCACTTGCCTTTACACTAAAAAACAAATGAAAAAATTTAAACTTAAGATGTAGAAAACATCATACTTAATCTTTTTTAAATACGGAAAGTCTACCTCATCCAGTAAATAGTCAATGAAATTTTAATTAAATACTTAAGAGTGCCACGCCCAAAAGGCTGTTAAATATATATGTCTCCTTCCTCTCAAGGCCTAAAGTGAAAACCAAGAAATAATCACTTCCATAATTCTAGCTCCTCTTTCCCCCACAAAATTTTCAACCAATTATAGACCTTGGTGTGCTAATGAGCTTTACCTGCAGGCAACTGGGAGCTGCAGGGTTTATGAAGATTAAACACAGCCTTGTGCTGTAAGATGGGGGTTGGGTGGCGGGTGCTGCAGAACACCGCATAAAGCTAAATTGATCTTCATGACTATACCGCCAAAGATAACATGTCCTTTAAAAAAACTCCATATTTGAGTTGTGAAAAATTTTAGGTATGGGTTTCTACAGAGTAGAACTGTCTAGAACTCATTCTCTATTTACTGGATTTATACTTATAGCTACAGTTAGACAGAGAATGACTTTCACTTCAGTTGGTATACATGTTATGTAAGATAAACATTTCATTCTTTGGAAATTAGGGTTGCTACACACCCCATCATACCCCTTCCTTTTCCCAAGAGACTGCTAGGACCCTGTGGTAGCTTCATTTGGCTTTCCAAATCCTGACCAGCAGATGGCAGTATTCTCCTTCCTAACACCTCAACAGCAAAGGGATTCCTGTTCCACTCAAACTGAGACCCTACGTTTCGTTGGTGCTATAGATGGTTACATCTCTGTATAGATCAAACATATCATCCTGTAAAGATGGCTTCAGTTTGGTCAGATCAGAGACAGTTTTATGGCCTCAAACATGAACATCAATTAACAAGAGCTCCCAAATACAAACAAAACCACAAAACTTCAAATAATAAGTTACTTTTCAAATACATAAAAATATCCTTGGTATTGGCAGACATTCTGAATTTGTCTGTTAACCCAAGCTATGGCTTGAAAATACTACCACTACTACTATCTTAAAAATAACATGTTAAAGGAAAATCTATAGTGATATATATGGGGAGGACTCGAGTTTGAATTTGTTCTAGTAACTGTGGTCCCAAGGCAGGTCTGGTGTGCAAAGCGAAGACTGGTATCCAGGCACAACATCCATAGCTGAGGAAACTATGCATCTGCAGGGATTAAATGAAAGGAAGCATGATTCAGGGCTATCTCATTGCTCAGAGTACAGGGATTAAAACCTCTGGGTTAGCAGCAGGAGCAGCGAGCTATTTGTTGGCAACAGCCTGCAGAATTGTGAGTTGGTTCTGCCCACTCCTTCCTCCGTGACTTTCAGTAGACTTCAATCAGGTCAATCCAAAGGCTACACTGCTGAAACCTGTTCATTTTCTGAAAATAAAAGAAACACAGTTAAGTGGTAGGTCAGCATATTAATGAAGATCAACTAACAATCTAGTTATCTGTTTAAAAAATTAGTCAATTTCGACAAAGAAATCCTCTCAAATATCCCATCAAAGGCCAGATTTTATTGTAATGACATTTTTGAGTTCTGATCACAATGAAGGCTGACAATCAACTGGAATTCAGAACTGCTTTTTAACCACTTTATTACTAGATTGTTTAGAAGGATAAAATTCATTTATTGCCAAAATTGCAAAGTTGGTCATGAGTTCTGCTAATAAGAGGAACTCTATCAAACAGCATGGTTTCAGATAATTTGACATTTTGATACTTGGAGTTTCAAGTGTCCGTGCATTAGTGTAAAACACAACTCTACCAATGTCAAGTGCCTCCTCTTAAAATTATCCTTTTACGCTGAGCTGCTATTAAATACAATCAGGTTGCCCTCTCCATTTACAAAAAACACACCATCGTATTTAGTCATTTCTTTTTTAACAGAGATTTCTAAAGCAGTTAAAGAAAACATTTCTGATTATGTGAAATACCAGAGCAAAGACCATTCAATGTGTTTAGCAATTCATTTAAGAGCCATTAAGGTAGTTTGCCAACATACCATCTGCTTCGCTATCTGCGTCAGTCACATCTGCTAGTTTAGGATGGGATGGCTGCAAATTATGCCTCTGAGGCTGAGTTACGATCTTCGATGGAACACAGGCCACAGGGTTGCTACTGAGAGAAGCTGGTGGCAGTCTAGAGAGGCTGTTATGCATCATCTTTGACCTCTGCACTGCCACACTATAATCTGGAGGTTTTAGGTGTAGGTGGGGTCCTTCCTTTAGGTCTGCTAAAGAAATTCCCATGTATCCTGGAGGAGTGGGAGGTGGCTCCCTATACCTATCCTCCTTCTTGGGTGAGGTGACACAGTACACTGGCATGAAAAATAAGCAATGGAAATGTTAATGAAAAAGATAAGAAATGAAAAAAAAAACATACTGAAACTTATTACAATGACAAAATAGAACTTAAAAAGGGACACAGTGAATATATTTGAACACAATGGCAGCAGGTTAAAAACACTTTTAATAAGCTTAATAAACTTGATATTTAAACTTGTTTTTAAAATACATAAATTACATTGGGTTTTACAAACATTAAATAGAATGAGACAGCTGAAGGAGATGACATTGATGACAAGCTTCCTCCTTTCATAGGTCAGACCACAAATCACAGAAGTGTGTGACAAATTCCTCAAGGAATACCAGCCCCAAAGTTGAATGAGTCAGAGACATTTAAGAATTCACCCTGAACATCTATACTCTATTAAATGGGGGGATTTTCATAGAAATGACATTTAGGCCCTCTACTTAAGGGCTATTTCACGTCAGTGCTGGCATATAAACAACTTTAAAGAGGAACTAATTCCTTCAAGGACCTTATTCCTAACCTCTGCTCTGTAATTAAGTGAGAAGAAAAGCCATAATTTTAGGAAATCCATCTTAAATTAAGCTTCTCTGATTTTCAGTGGACATTAAAAATAATGGTGACTTAAAATCTTTTGCCCTAAGTTTGTACACCCTGGGTCTAAGGCAAAGCTTCAAAAAAACATCAGAAATAAGTTAAAAAGGAAGTTCCATGAAATTAAGACCAATCCACAAGACTCACAGGACAAATGGCTCTGAGTATCTTGATCATGTAAGTAACTTTTAAAATACAAACACTATCTATATACAAGAAGAATAAATTTAAAAGGATCATTAAATTCTCCCCTTAGAGAATCAAGTTTGCCCATATTGAAATTTCTACAACTCTACCAGTAAAATCTGCATGTAGTATCAAGGTCAGAAAGGATTTCCATTCCCATCTGAGGAGAATGGAGTGGGGATGGGGTGGAGAGGTTGTGAAAAGAAGACAAGAATGAAGAATGTTAAGTGATTTGCCCAGAGTCATCTAGAAATGAACAAAAAAAAATTTTTTTAATCTATTTTCCCAAATGGATAAGAAGAGAAAGATTTTACACCCTTGCACACACGTGCTTGTATATCCATATAACAGTTACCTAAAAGGCTTTAATAAAAAATCCTTGGAAAAAAATGAACTAAAAAATCCAACCTATAATGAAATTTGACAAGTAAAAAATATGCTAAAAAAAGCACGTGTCTTTCATATGTTTAGTAGTTTAAATTGACATCACGAACATAGTATAAAGAGTTGATTATAATAATATTGACTCAAAGTACAGTCACTCCACATGAAAAAAAACCCACAGGTGCTATTATATCTAAGTACTTATATAAACTCAAGAATAAGGAAAAAAATGTGTCTGATGGCCAAATACTAAAAGAATACACCAAGAAAGCTGTGCATGGTTAGACGGAATCCACAAACAGAAGCTGGCACACCCATGATATGTGCTAGGAGGGTATAATGAAAAATATTTGGGTCTTTTTTTTTTTTTTTTTTCCCCCCCACGTAGCATGTGGGATCTTAGTTCCCTGACCAGGGGTCAAACCCATGCCCCCCCCTGCAGTGGAAGCGCAGAGTCTTAACCACTGGACTGCCAGGGAAGTCCCTGTTTTGGACTTCTTTATCACACTTTTTCCACCACTTGTACTACCTAAAAGTAGTATCAGATTCAAAGTTTCTACCATGTATGCAAAAAGCAACTAGGGTCCAAACAATTTATGAGATGGCAAAGAGAATAATCCCTTTATTACTGCTGCACAGTAATGCAGTAATATTTTAATAAAACCAAAAAGATCTCAAAAGCAAAACAAGACATATAAACCTGTCCCCCTTATTAACTTCCTGCATGTCAGCTTTTTCATTTCAAATGGCTTGAATATCTGCCCCAAAGCTCTTGAGAAATCATGAACTTTTTGAAAATAATTTGCATGTGGAGGGAGGAAAAAGAGATTAGAGAAGGGAATTTCCCAAGAATAAAATTCTGGGCCAAGGTCACTTTACCACTTAAATTCTAAATGCCACAGATATGACAAAGAACACACAACTTACCAATCAAGCCCTTTTCTGTACTCGAAGTAACAGTTTTATAAACGGGGTCGATGCCGTCCTTGTGGTCCAAGCCTTCAGATGACTCAGCTGGGGTGCTCTCCAACACTCTCCGTTTAACTGTCCCATAGTTTGGTTCGTATGTATCAGACAGAGAACTAGAGGAAGCCCAACTCTGCCTCATCTGATTAGTCTCTAGGCTCCCTTTACACTGACCACAAGTTCGAGAGCAGCCTTTAGGACAGGCACAGGGCTCACAGTCAGTGGGTTCAACTTCAGCTATGGGACCATCCAAATGGGTATATCGATAAGAGTTCAAAAAATCCCAGCCTTTTGGGTTTGGAAGGCTTTGGAAGTTGTCATGGGAGCTGCTTGAACAGGAAGTCCAACTTCCACGACCACTATCAGCTGCTTCTATAATAATATGCTCGTGAGAAATCTCATCATTGCTCACAGAAGATGAGACAGCTAAATTCTTGATTAGTGATGGCTTTGAGAGTGTCCACCTAAAATTGGAGATACACAATTAAAAGTAATTTACTGGCTTAATGGAAACAATTTCTTCAGTCCATTGCAAGTATTACTGCCTACAAGAGACTACAGAACATGCATCACAAGTGTTTAATGCCAACATAACCTTCTGGAAAAAAATGACATTGTAATCAATCATCACTAAACTTGTACTGGCATTAATGTTAATACTTAGCTCGAAACATACACTGAAGAAACTCAAATACTTAAAAGGCTTCCTCAGAATTTTTCTTGAATTATTATGAAGGATGAGGTTTGAAATGAATAAAATTAAGTATACGTTTTCATTCTTGGTCAACATAATGCAACACTAGATTCTCTCCATGCACACAGAATTAAGAATCCTCAATTACAGAAACCATGTTTTATTTTTCAGTGTCTCTGAGGTACCAAGGAAACAGCAACTTCCCCAATTACCTACTACTAAATGAATTCTATCATTTATAGCAAGGGTTCTCAAACTTAGTTTCATGGACCAAATCAAGCGAACAGCCTGTTTTTTTATGGTCTTGAGCTAAGCGTGGTTTTTACGTTTTAAAGGGTTTAAACAAAATGGAACAAAATACTCCAAAGATTTTGAGACAGAGACCATATACAGCCTGCAAAGCCTAAAATATGTACTCCTTTAAATGGGCCTTTACCTGCCCACCCCCCAAAAGGTTTGTGACTCCCTGATTTATAGTACAGAGCATATAGAGCAGGGATCAGCAAACTAGAGCCCAAGGGCAAATCCAGCCCTCTACCTGTTTTTGTAAATAAAGTTTTATTGGGACATAGCATGCCCATTTGTTTACAAATTGTCTAAGGCTGTTTTGATGCAACAATAGCAGGGTTGAGCAATTGCAACAGAGAGCTTACAGCCAGCTATGCCTACAATATTTACTATCTAACTTTTACAGAAAAAGTTTGTTACTCCCGGTCTAGAGAACCATAGTTTAGAAACCCTTACAAGTATGGTGATAATACTTCACTATATCTTAAATATTTCATATTAAAGTGTACCAGATTTAACAGTATCAGTTTAGAATCAACTTTCTCAGTGCTTTCTGAAGATTTCCATTTTGTCTGATTCTAAATAGAAATTTAGAGTTAACTTTTTTTTTTAATTGACTTTTTGCTAGCTGATAATTCTTATTCTCCAAATCATACTTTGAGAGAGTAAGGGTCAAGGACTAGTCCTACTCTCCCAATCTGTCTACAACGTGTATAGCACTGAGGGTACTTCCCATTACACACTCTTTTTGAGCAATCTCTAACCTTATAGCTAGAATGCAAGAACTACTTCCCACCTACCAATAGCATCTTCACTTTGAGTTCTTATTGATCGAAAAGATACATGATGTAAGTTACTTGAATCCAGTAACACTTAAAAAATGAGCACCCATATATCTTTCAAAATTGTACTTATTTGCACATTCAGTATAGAGAATACATGCTTGGTTCTCCTGTTCTTTCAACTACTCCTTTGGTGGGGGTGGTTTTACGTTCAAATTAGGGAGCACTGCTTGCAGTGGCCACTCGGCTTGGGTTTTGTGATGTGAACACAGGCAAGGATGTTTACCCAGGGCCAGGCTGACTATGGTCTCCTATCCCTGAGGAGTGCTCTGTCTTTTCAAATGCTCCAGTGGATTCAGGGACTGCCACAGCCTGGGAGGAACACCGTTCATCCTGTAGAGCTGCAGACATGGAGTCAACAGAGCAATTGCTCACAATGCTGGACCGTGAAGAAATCTCACTATGGCTGGAGTCAGACAAGTTGTCAGATTTAGCTGATGGTATAAGTGTATAACCTGAATGAGAGAAGACAACTGATCAAACTACAAAACAAAGGAACGGGAGTGGGGAGGGTCAGGGAGAGGACAAAGAAAAATATAAAAAGAACAAAACATAAAGTGACTATCAATGTCAATTTCCATCTATGTAGATGTAATGGTGCCGATTTTCTGTACATGTTCCTTTACATATCCATTCACCTACCTACCCACACGGCACCAATCTAATTCCAAATTCAAGAAATAGAAAGTCAAAACCCAGTATTACTGAGAAAACTAGTTCAAAGGTAAATCTGCCCCAGGCTCTCACATAGCTACAAGCATTTAATAAAACAAGAGGCATTAAATATATTACAAAACATTAAACTTGAACTTCTCAACTTCTTTTTAACCCTATGTACCCTCCCCTTTGATTAATATAAATATTTCAAGGCTTGACCTGAGTGTCCAAAACACCACCTCGAGGCAGGGGTATGTAAGGGGAGTCAGGACTCAAGGGAAAGAATTTTATTTTTGTTTTTTCAAACTGCATATACCCTAGATATTTTGCTTCTGTCACCTAAGAAGTCTTGCCTCAAGTTAAAAGCCATTGTTTTAGTATTTTTAAATAAATTGTTTTAGATTTGGACTTACTCTTATACCTAGTTTCCTTTTTCTTCACCAATTTAGCAGAACATTACATTAAACAGCTGAACTGACAGATTTACAAGAATGTAACATGAAAAAACGCAGCATCTACCTGTTTTAAATTGCTCTATGACTTACTGCACAGCAGATATAGCTAGAGAGATTTTCTTTAGCATTCTCTGGAATGAAGGGGTGGAGATGGAGTAAGGTGGAAGGTTCCAAAAACAAATCTGCAGCATGATAGTTAATGTACACAATCGTCTGTTTGGGTAACTGTTAGAAAAGTAACCAAACTTCTTTTGTTGAGAAATAAAGAAAATGCTGTAGTAATCCCAGCAAGGAGTAGGTCTCAAAGAAGTAAACAATTATCTTCTTGTTCACTGAGAGAAGAATGAGGTTGATTAGGTGCATGACCTTTGGGTCCATTCCTAGAAATCTCAAGAAGAACTATAGGCTTTAGACTCACATATAGCTCAAGTTATTACAAAAAAACTGTTGAATAATAACTTTATTAATTAGTGTCATTAACTGTTTCAAAAACAAAAATTAAGACTCAGAAAATGTGTGATCTGCATTTGGCTTTTGTGCCAGGCACAGGACAAGCCAAGGAAAGTCAGTCTCTCGACTCCTACCCCAGTTCTCTGATCTTGGGATCACTGCTATTTCTCAGTGCCCTTCATGAAGTGATCGGTCAATTTTCAAGAGGACCAAGAAAATGGATGTGGTAAATAAACTAAAAAAAATTCAAAAATTCCTCCTCAAAAGAAAAAGTCATTGTTCTTTTATCCTGGGGGATAGGCTTGCTTTACTGTTTTAAAAATAATTTCATTCTTACGTCTGTTAGATCAGTACTTGTCAAATATAATTAACTCTAAGAATCACCTGGAAGGCTTATTAAAATACACATTCTTGGGCCTATTTCTGGCAATTCAAACTTACAAGGTCTGCAGTGGGACACAGTAAGTTTTTAACAAGTTTCCCAGATGTTTTTGAACCTGCTATGTTAGACTATCTCCTCCCTCCTCTGATCAGAGTATATATGAAAAGTGGATGATATAAAAAAGTTTATGTGGACAAGATACAGTTTCTTGCCTTCCAAACATTTCACTTTAGCTTGTAAAGTAGTTGCAATAATAAGATAGCAACACAATTATCTAAGGCAAAGGTTCTGATCAGATTGTTACTGGGGGATTTAATGTAAAAGTAAACACTGGTTCCTAAAAAGCCTCCTCTACTTATTGCACTCACAGACCCAACTGCTACCAGCAGGAAATAAAGCCAACTACAGAAAACAAGAGTATTAAGTTTACTAACATTAGCAAAATAACATATGTACAAATAAGGCACTTTAAACGGATATGATTTTGTTGTTGGAGGACCTGTAACACTAATCATAAAATGCTCATAAATAGTATTTTAGTAAGTTGTCTATCTGAGCCTTATTTGACAAATGACTTAATTTAAGCTACATTTACATTAATAAATGAAAACAAATTTCACACTAAAATAAAGTAAGGAACTTCATCAGAGTGTCTTTCTCCTTTTAGACTTGAATCGCGTATAGAAGCAGTTTAAAGTGTTACTGTTGCCTCGGCTATTTGAATTGAAGATGTCATTCCCTTTCTCATCTTTGATGTTGCTTCCAACATCCTTCACTTTCTCACAGCTTTCTGTAGCTTGATTGAGATCTGCGTCCTCTTTTTTGCTGTTGGCTAGTCTCTCCCTTGAAAGAGTTCTTTCCCTAAATCTTCTAAACGGGGATGTCATTCTTTTTCTGGCTGTGGTCTCACAACTTGTCCTGTCTCTATTCTCCTCAGTGGCCTTCTCGGTCCTGTCTGTTCTTTTGGCTGTGCTCCTGGTAATCTGTTGGATTTTCTTTTGCAAGTAAACCCCACCTATTCCGGGGCAGCTGTGGCCACTGATCTTGGTGCTGGACTCACGGGGAGGGGATGAGGAAGACCCTGAGAGGCGCAGCAGGATGCTGTGATCAGATATGATACTGCCAACTGGAGGGAGAGATGCAAAAACCCTGTCATGGTCAATTAATTCTTTCCAATGAATCACAATTAGCCTGGTTTTATAACATTTCACTATTAAAAAATTCTAACATCTTGACAATATCTGAAAAATTGAAATCTAGCAACATATTTTTTAATGCATGGAGACTACTATATAGCATAAACAAGACAGAACACAGGAGAAAGGTTACCTTGATCAGAATAAGCTGGTAATAAAAAATTGCTGAAAGTAACCCAAGCTGGTAAAATCATAAGCCAAAATATGACAAGAGTAGCAAATAACCAGAATTATTTCTCAAAGTAACTATGTCTAGAATTTTCAGGTAGGTTCTACTAAGAAAAAGCTTAGCAAAAATCAGATAGGACATATAAATAGTATATACAATAGATGTATTTATAAAGCACAATTTCTGATCCTATTTTCTCTACAAGGCAGAGAAGTTGCCTGCCTGAAGCACTGGGGAAGATAAAGGTTAAGGCCTCTTGATGTCTCACTTTTTCAGTTCTTTCTTATTTAAATTCTCCTTTTAAAAATCGCGAACGTAGGCTTATCTTAACTGTTAGAAAACAAAGAACTATTCCAAAGTATAGCAAGAACTAGAAACAGATTCTAATAACATACTCTTAGTTTAATGACATTTTTGTTCAATCACGGACCACTGGCAAAAACCTGTCTATGGAAATAAACAAGCAGAAATAGTTTTGAAGAAAAGAATTTTGTCAGATTTCTAAGGATTCAAAACATGACTATGACAGGCTCACAAACCTATAAACATCATGGTCAACTGTTGGTCACATACTGAAAAAAAGACTTCTCTATTCCAGTGGTTAAAATGCATTTGTTTGGAGTAAGAGCAATGGGGAAATTCCTGTTCCTAACACCTCTTCCCACAAGTCACAATGACCCATAAAACACCAAATCCAATTCAACTAAGTTTCTCAGTTAGAGAACTGTCTATAATGGGACCTCTGGAGGGTGTAAAGATGTTCCTGAAAGAGCATTAAGAGCGTATGGACATTGTTCATCTGGACCATCTGTGTGAATAGGCACTGTTCCCAGCCCCAAGGATAAAGGGTACTCTGGATAGGATACATACATAGTAAAGAGATGAAAGATATCTGTGTGCCTTCCCAAATCATATATGAGCTGTATACAACAGGAACGGAAACCTGTGTTATGTATACTTTTATATGTCCTATTCGATTTTTACTAAGCTTTTCTTAGTAAAACCTGAATGAAAATTCTAGCCAGTCTCAGCTAAGTGAAGAGGGTCAGTAATGGAGTTATACTGCCCTGGAGTGGCAGCAGGGAAGAAGAGGAGAAACTCCGATTTACTAAACACTCACCACGTCTCAAGTGTTACAGATATTATTTCATTTAATCCTTAAATAAGGTCCTAAAATAGGTGGTCCCTAACCCATCTTATAGACAGGAGACCTGACCTTATATAAATCAGTTGCTTGTAATAACACAGCCATCACCAGGGACAGAGTCAGGATTCAAACTAAGGCCTGGCATCACTGTACCACTCTGCTGTCACATAGTCAGCAAAAATAAAAAAGAACCTTCAAAAGTGAGGGAAACTTAGAACACAGGAACTGAGGAAAGCTCTGGAAGCTTCTCCTTCCTGCTAGAATTCGTTAACTTGTCTTCTCTCTGACCATGTACCATTCTGTACTGTGTTTATTCAAGGATGTAACTTTTTTACATCTGTGAAATGCCATGACTAAGGAGTCTTTTTTGCCAGGGTACATGGGGAATGTGGAGGGCCAATGTAAGAAACACACACATTATTTAGAATGCTACATTTGCAGCTGACATGAAATGGCATCTTATATGCATATTACCCAGGCTAGTCAAAAAAAGAAAAGCTTCAGTCTGAATTAGGAAAACATAGATAAATAAAGAAGAGCAATTTCAGATTTTTTAATTCAAAAGGTTCTACATTAGCATAAATGTAAAAATCCACAAGGGTGCTGTATAGGTTATTATAAATCCTGATTAATAAAAGGTAGTAACATTCCATTACTAAAGAAAGGAATGTATCATCCTAAATATCTGTTTCATTTCCTAAATCTTGTAGTTGGTTAAAAACAATTTCTTGTAGACATTCTTATTTTAAAATACTCCATAGAACTGTTTGAATTAACTGGTAATTTGAATAACATCAAGAATTTGCACAGACCAAAACAACTGTGAGTTCTGCCTTCATTCTCATCTATACTTGTCCTCCACCAAAGAAGGACCACACTTTGAATGCAGGAGTCCTAACTCCATGATGCATTAACACCTGAAAACCATATAAATAACACAATCCAAAACATGAAAATTCAGGAAGTATTACCAGTTACACTTTTCTTCACATTTTCTATTATTACCATAGACCAAAAGCAAAATATGTGCCATGTAATGCTGTTTGGTGTAACAAGAACTAGCTTGAACTATTTTATCTTACCTTTGCGAGGGGAACCTTGAGGAGACGCAGGAGGACTAGAATGTAAGGATGATGCCATAGAAATAGTGTCTTCTGTATGTTTCTTACCACTTATTTCTTCAGTTGTTCCTAAAATTTTCTGAGGTAAACTTGTACCTAAAAATAAAATCAAAGAAGCAAATAAGTATCACTTCACAATTAAAATGTCTGCAGTTGCCTAAATTACTATATAACTAAAGTCATGATGCACAATGGCTAGTGTGGTTAACTGAAATGTATACATGACAAACGGGGACTAAATGACTGGGTAATGGCATACAGAGATTCTCACCTCCAGCATATTTGTTCACATTCAGCCAGTCAGCGCAGATCAGATTATAATAGCTTTTTGTTTGTTTTGTGGCATAAGGGATATTGATTTAACAGTCTGAGTACAGTGTCCCACCCTGCACAACTGACACACTTATTGGAAATCTTAATAGAGAAGGCATGGATTCAAACTCTTCCCTGCCCTCTAGAGGTGGCCTCTCCAAGTCAGGGGGAGGCGTGTGGCAGGGGCAGTGTAGGGATGTTGGCACTGTCACTACCTGTGGTGCATCTGTGCTGTGGGTATACAGAAGCTGCAGGGCTGCCAGTCCAGCCCTTTTCAAGAGCACTAAATTCACACTACAGGAGATAAGTAGACAACAGAAAGAATCATGAACTTATAGCAAAATAGTATGGAGCCCACTGGAAACATTCCTGCAAAGTTCTATCATCACTCTTGTCCAACAGCTGGTCCTTTTTAGCATAGGTCAAACTTAGCAATGCTTTCAAATACCCTGGTATTTTTACATACATCCTCTCGAAAAAATGTCAAAGAGGTATTGACACTGTTTTTAACCAGTAAAGTAAGCCCAACTTTGATGAGTACTCAGCATAGTAACAAGCAGCCCTTTGATACTGAAAAAATTTAAAACACAGTATACAAACACTACTCTTAATTAAGTGCCATTTTAATATAAATATATTTATCACATAAATAATAGTCATATTAGAGCAAGAGGGAAGAGGGCTACCTGGTACAAATAACACTGCCTCTCAAGTGATGACATCCAAGTAAGAAATCAGAGCTAGACTTGTCCCATGTCTCACTCCTACCACAAAATCAACTTCACCCATTTTGCATCCAATTCTCTACTCATTTCCACAGACACCAAACTAGATCAGGCTCTAGGCAACTTCCCGTTGCTACATCAGCTTTCCACTAAGGCTCCCTATCTCCAATCTCACAGCCCTTCCTACTACAGACCTTCTCCAACATAAACTAGACCATAATCTTGCCTTGCTCAAACTGCTTTAACAGCTACCCACTGACAACTTTCCTCTAGCATGTCATGTTATAATTTTGGCATGTCTGTAACTTCACTTCTCTTCATCCTGGGACACTGTTTAGTACTGTGTTAAAAGTAAGGATTTTGAGCCAGGTAACCTGGGCTCAACTCCCAGCTCCATCTCTTACTCGTGGTGTATAAGTTACTTAGACATTCTATGGTTCCTATGTAGAATGAGAGTATTATCTATCTTTAGGTTTATTATGAAGATTAAATGAACATAATATATAAAGTTAGTAAAGCACTTAGAACCGTGTCTGGCATTCAGTAAGTGCTCCATAAGTGTTAGCATTAATTATTATTGTCTCTCAACACTCTACAGCTTTGTCCTCAGAGGCAGCAAACTGCCTGTAGCTCCTTGTAGATATCAAATTCTTCTTCTGCCTGAAGCAACTTCTCTGGAATTTTTGCCTAATTATCTCCTTCCTTATCAACCTTTAAGACTCTGCTTAGGTGTTATCTCCAAAAGGCCTTCTCTGGAGCACTATCTTACTTCTGTCTACCCTAAAAGCTCTCCCTCTTTTGTTCTTTTATATGTTATGTACATGCTCCTGTACATGCTCCTGGCATAATATGTTATGTACATCTTTTATGTGTTATGTACATGCTCCTGTACATGCTCCTGGCATAATAGTGAACACATACATGTTATCTGTTGTGTGAATGTCTGTAACACCAGACTGAAAATCTGGCAAAGGAAAGGGCATTTTTTATTCAACTTTGGATTTCAAAACAGTATCAAATTAAATTCACAAAGTTCTACTGAATATGTCCTATGTATAATGCATGAACTAAATAATAATGCTAGGGACCAAATCTAATCTAGCTTCCCATTTGAAAGCTAAAATAGTGATACTGTTAAAACAACAAATGAAAGTAATTTGGACAACATCCACATGGCCTAACAGAGGAAAAAAAGCATGGTCTACACTTATATATTTTACACTTGCTTCTTGTCCCCAAGCTAGGTTTTCAGAAGTGGTCATTAATGAAAAACCAATAAACCGTCTTTTTTAGAAAGAAGCAATTTCATTATTTTTAGATGCAGCAATTTCATAGGCTGCATCTGCATTAGATAATTGAGTAAATGCACCACTAAATGCAGTAAGCCCTTGGTACCCAAATATGCTGCTGTACGTTTCTGGCTGATATGATTATAGGAATTCCAACATCAATATTTAAAATATGCATGCAGTCACTGAATAGGGCAAAATGAAGCATTAGGCACCTATAGGCAAAATGAAGCATTTTTTGACTCATGAGTGCTGATTATATTACACAAACTACAATAGCTGATCTCCAAAGCATTTATATTTGTAATTATTTTCCATTCTAACTCGCCTGAAAATTTCAATTAAATGAATGCAATATTAACTGTGAATACTCACTCAGTGTGGCAGGGTCTTTTGCTTGTCCCTTCTTCCTGATGGGGTGCAAATTTACAGCTGGCACCTGAAGCACCTGGCTCACTCTGTGGGGCTGATGCAAATAGGCTTTAGCTGCTTGGCCAGCTGACCTCACAGGCACTGGAGACATTTCTGATGACTTGACTGATCTTTTCTCACTTAGATTCTTGGTCACTAATAGAAGAGAGTAAGAAATACGTAATTCTGCACTTTTTAAGGCAAGGTTATTACCACTGACAATAGTACATGGCTCATTAAAACCACCTATTTTTAACACAAAAAAGATGAATTTTCCTAACAAAAATTTCATGTATTATGTTGTTTCAAAAATTCTGTAGAATTAATTTTACTCCCTAAATTAAGATAATAGACTTAATTAGCTCCAACTGCACGATCATCCTAATGGCCATCCTCTCATTTATATTATTTTTTTTTGACAGATCCTGCCTCACGTTTATTTCTACAAATAACACAGGATGACACCTGTCCCATGCAGACAATACCCCAGGGGTCACATCAGTCCTTCTGTCTTCATATCGGCGACAGAAGAGCCTTTGTTGGTGCCTAGGCCACCTTTGGGAGCCAGAGCCAGAGTCGCAGCTGCATCCTGTGCCCTGATTTGAGCCTTGGCCTCTGGCCAGCGGAGGCTGAGACCCTTGGTGATGTGGGAATGAGCACATTTCCCTGAGCCTGGGGGGAGTGATGTAGTCAAGTCAACTGAGCTTGTGGCTGCTGCCCTTCGCAATCTGGGCTTGACCTCCTTGGGCTTTATAAGAGCCTATATAGCCTTGGCAGGTACACTCATGGCCTTGGTGTTTTTGGCCAGCATCTTCCTCAGGTACTTCTTGTCGTGCCTCTTGGCAAACCTAATGTTCCTCAGGAACTTGGAGTCCACCCCCTTCAGAGATTCAAAGCTTTGTGATCAGGGTTTCTTGATGCCATTTCTGTGCCATGTATGGGATTTGCTGTTCATGGTGTGGTTGCTGAACTTGGCCATGTGTGCACCAAAGCCCAAAAGCACTTGGAACCCAAAGAGCTAGCATCTTCTCATTTATACTACTGAAATACTCCCCTCACTGTAATAATTCTAGCATGCCTTCAAGCCATTCTCCATACAAGAGTGCAATGACTCTTCCATCATGAAAATCTGATCCCATTTTCTTTCTAAAATTTATTTTACTTATTTTTGGCTACGCTGGGTCTTCATTGCTGCATGTGGGCTTTCTCTAGTTGCGGTGAGCTGGGGGGACTACTATTCGTTGCAGTGCATGGGCTTCTCACTGCGGTGGCTTCTCTTGTTGCAGAGCATGGGCTCTAGGCACGTGGGCTTCAGTGGTTGTGGCATGCGGGCTCAGTAGTTGTGGCTTGAGGGCTCTAGAGTACAGGCTCAGTAGTTGTGGCGCATGTGCTTAGTTGTTCCGTGGCATGTGGGATCTTCCCGGACCAGGGCTCGAACCCGTGTCCCCTGCTTTGACAGGCGGATTCTTAACCACTGTGCCACCAGGGAAGCCCTATCGTGCCACTTTCCTTCTCCAAATGCCCTACACAAACTTTTAGATGACTTGCCACTGCTCTCAGGATAAAGACACAAATCCCTAAAACAAGGTCTATTAGACCGTGCATGATCCAGCTTCCCTAATAACCCACACTCTGCAGCTACTAGATTAGATCCCATTTTATGTTCTCAAGGCATCCTGTATCCTTCCTTCACAGCATTGATAACTGTAACAATACAATTGTCTGTGAGATTAATCAATTAATGTCTCTTCCCCCCACAAGGCTATAACTAACATGATTGTAAGGACTGTTGGTACTTTGTTCACTACTATATCCCTGTGTGTCCAGTGACGGATAGAAAACAGAAGCTTAACAGGTAGTTTTTGAATAAGTAAGTGAAATTATTTCAACAGCTACACATAGGAATACCAGAGATATTTATAAGTGGATGGTTAGTATACTTGAAGATGCACATCAGAATTAAAAACTAAGAACTCTTGGGCTTTCCTGGTGGCGCAGTGGTTGGGAGTCTGCCTGCCAATGCAGGGGACACAGGTTCATGCCCCGGTCCGGGAGGATCCCACATGCCGCGGAGCGGCTGGGCCCGTGAGCCATGGCCGCTGGGCCTGCGCGTCCGGGGCCTGTGCTCCGCAACAGGAGAGGTCACGGAGGTGAGAGGCCTGTGTACCACAAAAAAAACAAAACACAAAAACAAACAAAAAACTAAGAACTCTGACTTAAGAAACAAAAAGCTGCCTCCTCTGTATAAAATCAATACTATAGTCCAAAGAAAAAACTTCTTCCTTCAGGTAGTATTTTTAGTACTTTTAATTCTTCAGGCAGTTATTCAGGGTGGTTTTAATGCAGGTCCAACCTCAATACTCCATGATATTTTTGTTTTAAACACCAAGATAAAAGTGTTTAACCTGTCCCAGCACAGCTACAATAGTTAGCTACTATGCTTTTAGAACCTAGAGAATATTTTGGGTGATAAGAATATCTCAAAAAGTCAAAGCAAAGTGCTCCTAGGGGATAATAGGCAGTAGCGCATCAACTGACTGAATCCAAGATGTTACCAACTTTTGGTTAGAGCCATGAAACATTTTCGCCCCAACACTAATCAATTCCGTATTGACATCTTATTTTAATAGTTGCCATAGTACAAAGAAAAAAATCAAGAGACTACTTTGAATATAAAAAAAGAGGTCACAGGAGAGTGTCAAAACTCACACATATATACTTATTATGAAGAACCAAATTCTATAATGTTTGGCAATCAACTATTATTTGGGTTTGGAATTTATTTAAACATTTAAAAATCAATCATGCAATAAAAATCAAAGACTGTCAAACTAAAATAAAGCAACATGAATTGAATTCAATTTTCACAAAACAGTTTAACTTTCAGTTTAAGAAAGACCCACAGGTTTTCTCATTTTAAATCGGTATTAAAATCAATGGTAGTGAGACACCATTTAGTGTTACGGAAAAAGAAGTAGATAAGTCTAAGGTGGGTGTGAGAGGAGAAAGGTATCGCAGGTGTGTGTGAATGCGTGGTGGGGGGAGGAGAGAGAGAACGCAGAGGTTGGTATGTGGGATCTTTCTAGGAGTCAAAAAAGTTTTTTAAATTAGTTATTTGGCTGCGCCGGGTCTTAGTTGCAGCACACGGGATCTTCGTTGTCGCGTGTAGGATCTTTGTGCAGGATCTTCATTGCGGCATTAGTTGCGGCATGCATGTAGGATCTACTTCCCTAACCAGGGATCGAACCCAGGCCCCTGGCATTGGAAGCACAGAGTCTTAACCACTGGACCATCAGGGAAGTCCCTAGGCCTCAAAATTTTAACAATGAGCAAAGCATAAAAAAGGTTTCTATGCTTCTGAATATTCCAAATCATATTTAGGAAACAAAGAAACGCAGACAGTGAAAACAAAAGATAAAACAAACAACCTTCGGGCTTCCCTGGTGGCGCAGTGGTTGAGAGTCCGCCTGCCGATGCAGGGGACGCGGGTTCATGTCCCAGTCTGGGAAGATCCCACATGCCGCGGAGCGGCTGGGCCCATGAGCCATGGCCGCTGAGCCTGCGCATCTGGAGCCTGTGCTCCGCAACGGGAGAGGCCCAACAGTGACAGGCCCGCATACCGCAAAAGAAAAAACAAACAAACAAACAAAAAAACCCAACCTTTTATCAGACAAAAGCAGGAATAATAAATTGCATTCAGTAACCATAAGATGATGAAGTCTATACTGCATTACTTGGGAAAAAATAATTTTGATGATCATTCAAAGCCGCGTCAGAGATATTTAATAAGTGTGTATATGGCTTTGAACTTTAAAACATGAATAAAATTTGAAGATTCTATATACTTTTTCAGTCTTTACTTTTGACATGTACCATTTTCTCATAGCAGACACTTCCTGATATCCCACCAGGTGGTAAGAAATTTTTCCAGATACTTTCCAAGTCTATATACATTTATTATTTTTAACAGCCATATACCATTCTTTGTATTGATAAGGAAGCAGTGTACTTAACTATTCTCCAGTGTCTTGATATCTGTGTGAGTTCTTTTTCCATTGTAATACATGCTGCACAATACCAATACTGGACACCTCACAGACTGCTGTGAGGAGGAGTAAATGGCAAGGTTTATAAAAGTGTTTAGCATGGTTGCTGGCATATAGAGAGCGCTCAGTAATTGTTAGCTTTCATTATTTTATTTCTTTCTCTTAATTTAATAGGTTTGATGTAGAAAGAATCTGAGATAAAACACAGTACCAATACTTGCTTGACTTTTACAATTAGGAAAACAAGAGATCTAAGACGAAGAGAAACTTGTTCAAATGGTAATAAATGAGACCCAAACTCTGTCTCCATCCTTTAGTAGGTGTTCTTTTCATCACAACCCATTCATTTTCCTATTGGTAAAAGTGTTCAAGATACTGTTTTTATAACAACACTTACTGAATGGCTCATTACCCTACATTTTAAAATTCACTGTGAATCTGAATTTTAAACTCAATACTTGTATCTCCATTTTATCTTTTCTACTCTATTGACATACTTTTTCGATTACTATGTAAATACTATGTCATTTATCAATTTCAGGGTCAACCCATGATAATTACAATTTCCCTCTATCAATTAGGAACACAGAAATAGAAAAACTGAACCTTCCCCCTCATATATTCTGTCAACATTTAATCAAGTTCTATACATCATGCTGGGATTTTTACTGGTGTAATATTTAATCATATATATAGATAGATAATACTCACTTATAATGGAAGTACAATCATCTTTATTTTGTTGTTATAACACACACAATATATTTTACCATCTTTGATCTCTGCTTTTACAACTCATGATTTCCTTGACCCAGAGACACATACATTCTATTGTTTGTACTTAATTTAAAAAAAAAAAACAGTATTGAGAATAGGCTCTATTTTGTTCATCATATTTTCTATTTATAAATATTAGAATACGTCTAATTTTTCTTGTTTTACTTTATTTACTGATGCCTATAATACACCTATTATCTCTAACAGTATATTAATTAAATTTATTGTATTTTTTCAGTTGGTAAATGATATTATCTGCAAAATTTTTAGGAAAGAGAAATTTTTCACTTATTTTACTCTTCATTTAGGGATGAAGATCAGAACATTCTCGAAGAGAAGGGCTCCTCTATAATGTTTCGCTTTTTATAAGAAGACTTCAAAATGCTTTTTAAAGAACTATATCACTCCATTTCTTGCACAGAGTAATCATCAGGAATGGATGAGAATTCAGTATCTGATTAACATGATCACATGATGCTTGAGGTATGTCAGTAAACTTTTGTGAAAGTTAATTTTCTTGGGACTTCAGGATAATACTAGAGCAACAAATTTCTATTTTGTTGTGCTGTTTAGTGTCACGTAAGTGAAAACTTATACTTACAGGTACCATATGCAGGCTCCCATTGCAATGACATCATCTGGAACTTCTCCTCATCTGTTTCTACATCCAGACTGGAAAGATACTGCTTCACTTTCCTTGCCATTTGGGCATCTTCGTACAGCTTCTTAGCATTAAGCAGAGAGCTACGGCGTGCCTTTTTTTTGTGAGCACCTCCCTGAACATCCAGCATGTTTGAATTTGTGCTGCCTTGACTCAGTGACCTGTAAGAAGATGGAGATCACAATAAGGGGCTGTAAAGATGAGAATTAAGTATGGCAGATTGAAAATTAAAAGAATTCTGTTCTGTTAATGCAACCGCATGCTGATGCAAATGAGTTAAAAGATGAAGAGCATTAATGCAAAGTAATATGGCACATATGGCAATGTTCTGAGTTTTCAGATTCAGCAAAGTTCAGAATTCAAAAGAATAAGTTAACAATTCCCCCCAAAGCAACAAATTCCATCAGACCTGTGTTTGGTGCCTTTGCAACCCATGGCACAACTGTGACAAGTATAAGCATTCCTTTGGCCCTATGGCCATCCACACTCTGAAGATATGGCAAGAGCCTAGTTCAGGACAAGTCCACCCTGAGCCAGATCTCTGCACCAGGGTTCTTCAGCAGGGGAGTTTCTAGAGCAGCTTTGCTTGTACGTGCTGCTTTGGACATGCTATCACCATCACCATTCTTGTATATAGCTGGCCCACTCCAAGCATGCTCACCGATTTTACCAGTAACCAGATTTTAACCAAAATTCAAATAGAACAACCAGTAAGAAAAATAACACCATTTATACTCAATTCAATATAGTCAGAGATCAGAAATGCAATAAAAAGCTACTCAATGCTTCTACTCACATATGAAATGGTTGGGCAGTATGTGGCTTCTGGGCTGGGGATATGGGATCTTTCTTTTGCAATGCCTCTAAATGTGATGAAACTACAAGCTGGGTAGGAATAACTACAGTTGAAACAAGCTATAGCTTCACATCCAACTGTACTCTTTTTGGCAGACTTCTTTCTATAATAACCACATCTAGAACCACTGGAAAACAGGAACTGCAATGCTATTTGTCCTTTGTAACAAGGATAGCAAACACAAGGTTCTAGACAATTTTTATTTTAAAGGCAGTTGCCAATTCTAAAATAATAAGGATATCTATGGGTCTTCTAAGTTAGCCTCCCAATTACCCAAAGATATTCTAAATACACATACCACAATCATAAAACAATTTGTTTTTTTCCGTGCTCACATACCCCGTTTAAAACAGACAACTAAAATCCTAATGTTTTCATTATAAATTAAGTGAAATAAAGTTGTAAAAAATGTTACTTTTCTTTTGTAATTTTAAGATCTTTAAAAGAGTGTGTCTTACATTTGATGGCAACTTTCAATTGCTACTGGTCAGGCAGAAACTGTGATGTGGTTGTTGCTACTTACATATGCAGAAACTCCTAAACTTTCAGAGTGGTTTGGAAAAAATCCAATGGCATTAGTGAATTACTCCCTTAACCTCCAGGAACCAAATGATTATAAGGATGTAGTGAATCTAACAAGTTCAACAACATTCCCAAAGCAGGTGTCAAAAGGAAGTTAGCCCTAAACATCTGCAAAGCCAACCTAAGAGCCCAGCACCAGCAGTTTTTTGTTCTTTTATGGCTTGTTTTAAGAAGTGTGGCATTACCAACATATTTGACAGCACAAAAGGCAATACTGTGTGAGGAAAAAAAAACCCCAGAAACTAATAACCCTAAAAGTGATTCAGAAAATTCATATTCTAAATACGAAGAAGTTTTAGAAGGACCTAAACCAATTTTATATTTTCTTTTTTATGAATGCAAAAAGGTGTTATGTGATAAAAACACATACCTAAGTTTATATAAGAGCTCTTTTAACAAGTTAAAAAATTCTCAGTGTTAAGAAGGTACTGCAGTGACTTTTCTTCGTGGTACATAAAACAACAGTGGTCCCAACAACTGATGATGCCTCAGATTCAAAGAAATGTAGTAAAATCAAGCCCCAATATTTAGGAGCAAATTTGAATACAAGTATTTAATAATTTTATGTAAGCTGATATAAAAAAGTGTCCAGAAATTCAGGATACATACAAAATTTTAATAAGTGAAAATCTCATGATAAATGACAAATGTCTTCTAAGCTTTCAAAATGCTTTGATGTAAAAACAAAAATATCTAGTGCCTGCAAACATCATACAAAGCAACCCTAAAGCTAAATAAACAGTGAATGTGTTACATAAGTCATTCAAACACCCCAAAATCCCCACTAAGATATACTGTTCAAGTATTCTTCTTCATAACAGTAACGTTAGGAATCAATTTCTATCTTCAATGAGAAGAACCAGAAAAGACCAAGACATAAATGTAAAGTATAGAAGAAAACACAGAAGAAACACAGAGAAGGAAGAAAGCAGAAGGAAATTCAAGTTCACCAAGCTTCAACAGAAAACAAAAGACCACAAATAAGACAAGACTCAAAGTAAGTGGCTCACAAAAAATCCTTCTTATATGTAATATAAAAGCATCTAACTTAATGATTCACCATAATCTTAAAAGAGCAAAATTCTCCTTTTTTGCTCATCTACAAAACCCATCTTTTTCTTCAACTAAAATCCCCTCATCCACAAAACCCATCTTTTTCTTCAACTAAAAATGAAAGGATCAGATAGATGATTTATAAGATCCCAAACATTCTATGATTTCTACATGGATACTTAGCTATCTATTACAGATCTGTAAGCAGAGATCTGAACCTACTTGACAACAAAAGGTGTTGTTAGGTCTGATTCTATTTCAGTTTTAAGAGAGATAAGGGAGTCTTTAATTAAAAGTGGTAGGAATTTAAAACTCAATGTTGTATGTCTCATGGTATTAGTGGATCTGAACAATTAAAATCATCCTCTATTTCAATTATTTACAAACTCAATATTACAGTACAGTTTGGATAAAGGCTGCACCCTTTTGGAAAACTGATAGAAAAATGTAATCTTTATAAACAACCCTTTTACCCATTTTAATACACTTAAACATTTATTTTTATAAAATATGGCATGTGAATAAAAGAAAATAGTGTGGACTCTGGAATCAGACTACCACCATTAATGAATCAGAATCCACCATTAGTGAGCTCTAGGAATTTGGACAACTCTATCTTCCCCATCTGTACCATGGGAATAACATTATCTATTTCACAGAGTGGCTGGAGAATTAAATAATTCATATAAAGTGCACAGAGAAGTATATGGCACATAGGAAGCACACAACAAATATATGCTATCGTCATCATTATCTAACTGACCCTGCTAAATAAAATCTAAAAGGGACTTATGGGACGTCAACAATGGAAAAGTAAAGGGAAAAAAAGCTAGTTCTAACACTATTTTAACCTTGTTAGCAAAAGGCATTTATTTGTCAGGAATGTAGGTTGACAGGGTTAATAGAACACATGCTATTTTACGTGCGTGCATTAATGAAAAGGATGCAGTATATGTTAACAGTTGCACAACCTTCATTCCAGTTGCATTCATCTCTACACTTACCCCAGACTCCGCCACCTCTTCTTCCTGTAAGCAAGAGCCACAAACATTGAAGCATGTGTTTGAATAGGAAAGCACAGAAAAAAGACAACAGTCGTGAGTCAGAGAAACTATGGAGACAGAACAGAAAAATTTTACTAGAAAAAAAAGGTAGCTTAACAGTAAAATGACTTTAATGGAATACAAGGGGGTAAAATGAATTATGATATGTACTGAAGGCCAAAAAACTCCACACTATTTAAAAGTATGCTTTTAGACCAATTATATTTTTAATACCTAATTCATTTAGAGGCTTATGTTAATAAGAAGCTTAAGGGAAAACATTTATTAACTATGAATTTTGAATTCAAAGTTTTCAGGGAAACCTTAAATTAAGGAATATGATCTTTTGAACTTTTTTTAAAAAAGGATTTTTGAGCCATACATTTAAGCGAGGATGAAATTACAAGAAACAAAAATTTATAATTTCATTTTTAAGTGCAGAAATTCTCTTACAATGTGCATTAACAAGAAATTTTGACCAGCAAATCCAACTTAAGTTGTATTTATAAGTAAGTATAAATATATCATCAAAATCTTTATGATCCTGTATCTCCTTACACTACAATTGGGCTGAATCAAGATTCTTTTTAAAATTTTTATTCTCATTTATTTTTTTGCCCCTTCCCCCCAATCCTGACTGGTCTCATTATATCTCTGGCTTGTATCCAATAAGCTCCAGCTCTGGCCAGCCCAAAATTCTGTTTTTCAGTAAGCACACTGACTACTGTTAAAATAAAAGGGGTACTTTGTCTACACAAGATATTATACACCACCAAACTGGACAATTACTTGCTTAAAGAAAGCTAGTACATTTCAGTACTAGCTGACAAATACAACTGATTCAGGAAAACTTCAGTCTAATCTAATTATGTTTTATTTTTTCCTATACTGCATTCTACTGTAGCCTAGGCCATTCCCAAGGAAACAGCCAAGTTTACTGATTTCATCCTCAGTTTCTTCCTCCTTTGCTCATTTCTGAGGCATTGTACTTAAAATATTATCAACTGGTCTGGCAGGCTCACAAAGTCATTATCATCTTGAGGAACGAGAGTGCTAAAATACATGAGTAGATGGATGTCTGCGTAAGACAACAAGGCGTGGTGGGGCCACTGTACAGGGACATATAACAAAAACAAAAACTTAAAAACAAAGAAACAAATCCTCCAGGTCTGCTTTGGTCCCTGGTTCTTACTGTTTTCTGCTTCTACACTGCTGAGCAATGACACCCCTCATTACATGTAGTGATTCTCAGGGACAGAAGTGGGATGGGTTGGGAAGAGGAGATATGATATACCCCTTCCTCCATATTTTGAGAATTTCTACACTAGAGCAACGATCAGGTCAACTACTTATAAAAACAAAGACTCCTGAACAGTGATTTAGACAAAACAAAACAAAAATAAAAAAACCAATCCTGACACACAATGATTCTGTTTGGATACAAAAACTCCATCTCTAACTTTTAAAAAACCAAGTATTTTTGTTTCCTTAGTAGGCTATATTTCTTTCAAGCCACAAGAATTGTGTCTGCCTGGGTAAACATTTCATTTTTAAAGCTCTTAGGTACTGAAGCTATACACAAAGGCCCAGAAGAAAATCAGACCAAAAATGAAAACCCTAATATCTTTTTACCCTAAAAATTACAGAAATTACTGGGAACAGCTTGACAACATACTTTATGTTTTATATAAGTTGAGGAGACATTTGTTATTACATTAAAAATGAATTTTAAAAAGCATTCTTAGATCAGGTTAATATTGAATGCAATTCTTATTTTTATTTCATTTTTATTAGAAATGGAGCATCCTTAAATTGGCACTTTCTAAACTGCGTTAAAGAATTTACATACAAATAAACAGCAGTACCATGACTTGAAACCAAGGAATATATTTTAGAAGAATAAAGTAGAACTTAGGCAGAAATAGAAGTTTAAAAATATTCAATAAAAAGACATATTCAGTAAAAATAAAAGACTAATACTTCATACATTTTGTTAGAAACCAGATGAAAGCATCTGTCCTGTGTGATAACTTCAGTAAAGATCAGCAACTTACTTAAACATTTAAGTTAGATGACATTTTAATTAACAATAACAATACAGGTCTATGTACTCAAAAAAGTAATAGAGAACTAGGGTTCAAATCTCAGCAATTTATGTAATCCTGGACACATCACCTAACTGCTCTGAGCTTCAGTTTCTTCATATGTAAAAGGCAGGCCAATACTACTACCAACCTTTAAAGGTTATAGTGACAAACTATTACTTGAGAGGGACATCTGTAAAGCACTTAGTACACTGCGTAACAAATGGCAGATGGTCAATAAATGAAAAATATTATATCATGCTCAGTGCCACTCTGTAACACTTACACACTTCAATGACATACCTCTGTCGGAACATCATAGCTGGGTCCATGTTAGCAGAAGTCATTCGAACAACTTGACGAATTTCCTTGGCAATCATTCTGAGCTTCTCAAAATTTACTAAACCATCTACTTTGGAATCATTTCCTATAGAATAAAAGTAACTTTTTTTAACTTCCAAAATTAAAATATCTATATAAAAGTAGCAGAAGTCAAGTTATTATTGTTGGAGGCACAAATCAGAACCTTCTTTATCAAACTGTCACTTTTGTTTTCAAGAACTGATAAACCCATAGATGGTTTAATCCTGCTCCCAGGGAATGAGCTAATGGGAGAAATTCTATTCCTATGGAAGTAATGATTATGATTATTGGAAAGTGAGAAACTGTGCATAGCTTCTAAAAGCCATTTCATTATGCTGTAGGCACACCTAGTAAAAAATACAGCTCCTCAAATCTAATTCTCCAGATGCTCAGCCCACTCTTAGGCAAGTACGTGCATCTGTTTTTTTGGGCAGCAGAGTAGAGCACTTGAAAACTTAGGTTTTAGCCAGAGGTCACAAACAGTGACCTTTGGCTTAACTAATCTAGTAAGGTTTCTATGGTTTACGGTACTTAAATAAATTGTAAAATGAGTTGTCAACACTTAAGAAGTGGAAGACATCCCAAGAAAACAAGAATTTCTGACTTCTCTCGAAGAAAAAAAGCGGGGTGGGTAGGTGGGGGATTAAATAATAAGTATTGATAGGTCTGTTTTCCAAGTGGTAATAATTAGTTAAAATTAAGAGGTGGCTGGCTCGTAGGGGTAGACATCTTCTAGTCTGCCATGCATCCTCTCTTCCCCAGGATTTGAATTTACAATCATGACTTTAATCATTAAACACAAATTTGCTTGTTTGTAAGTTCCATGGTTTTTGTTTCTGTTTCACTAAGTAGTTCTCTGAGGAAAAAAACTCATACACCTCTCAAAATGGTCTACTTTTCTTTGACGAGGACAGGAATGAGACCAGACTTAGCCCATATGTTGGCTTACCCAGTTCAAACCACAAGGCAAAAAACTGTATGTTCAAAGGGTAATCTGTCTTTTTTTCACACCTGTCTTTAACAGCTGGTCTGACCCTATTTATTTTCCACATAGCCCCTGAGGTGTCTGTGGAATTCCAAGTCCCTGAAGCCAAGTTTGAGAACCACATGGGTCTGGAACACATGGTGGGCTCCCTTTTTGTAGTAAATGGCACCTATCCATTGGACATATAAATTGTTCAGGGTCTCAACATGAGTTGAAAACAAAATGATAACCCAAAATACTTTCAAGTCACATAAACATGTTTTGAGGGAGCATGTCAGAAAAATATACTTGAAGCCTATAATGATATTTTCTTATGAAAAAGGAGTGACAATGAAAGTGGGGGCAGAACAACTAGTTAATTGGCACAACACGTCTGCTAAAAACAGTTAGAAAAGTTGGACAAAAATAGAAAAAAAATGTTTTAAGTCATCAAAAAACTATCAAGGCTGTGAAGATCTGAAGCAATAATGAAGATCTGTGGCAAGTTTAGCATCTCCCAGTGCTTGACCCAGCATCTGCTGATTTCAGAAAAGGGGATGATGAGCTGAAAAACTGAGTAGTGCCACCATGACCTTTGAAGTTAGAGAAGAACAACTTAAGTCTAGATAAATCTTCAATGTTTTGGGTCGGGATTTTGAAGGCCTATAATATATCCTCAGACCAAAGATAAACTAAATGTAGACTGGGATAAAAGTTCAGTGTTAAATTATCTCAAAATATGAAAAGGGTTTAAGGTGATTTTTGGATTGCTAGCACCCCTAGCTGCCTGGCAGAAGCAAGCTTTAATTCTCTCTGGAGGAATGTAATATTGTCTGAAACCTTAGATTATTTCTGTAATTTCTTTATACACAACATCCATTTGGTCAAAAATAACCAGGTACATCAGGAGAAAATTCAACATGATTGAAATGCAAGGAAAAAAAAATAAAAGACAACAGAAAGACTCATAAAGGATCTAGATTATGGAGTTATTGGAGACAAACATAATAGTAACTGGTAAATATGTGCAAGGTTATAAAAAACAACACTGAGAACTTTGGCAGAGAACATGAAGATAAAAAATGAATTTAAATTGTAAAACTGTAAAAAAAAAAACCCCAATAACTGAAATAAGGAATTTGTTGCTGAATTTAACAGTAAATTAGTACACAATTGAAGAAATAATTTAAAAATTGGAGAGAAAATTCCAGAGAAAGCTGGGAGAAAATTCCAGAATGAATAAAAATATCCAGGTCAGAGAAAACCAAATGCTGCACCTAGTCACATCATAGCAAAACTAGAGAAAAACAGAGATAGAGAGAAGAGAAAATTATAAAGCAGCTATGAGAAAAAGGGTAGATTTGTCAAAGGAACAACAAATAAGACTGACACTTGATTTCTCAACAATAACAATGGAAGCCAGGAGACAGTTTTGTTATCGCAAAATGTTGAAAGGTAAGTGCCAACCAAAGTTATGCCTTAAGAATGAATATTAATTAAAGACATTTTTCAAATAAACAAAAAGTAAGAGATTTCATCACCAGTAGACTTGCGCATAAGGGAATAATAATCAGTGTTCTACAGGAGGAAAAAACCCCAACCATATGAAAACTTTGAAATGCAGGAAAAGTAACAATATCATCATGCAGGTAAAGCTAAATAAATACTGACTTTACTAAACAACAATAGTATAGTGTGGCATTTAAAGGCATGGAAACAACTGTATATGTCGGGAGGTGAGCAAATGGGAATTTAAATGGTCTAACTTCTTGCACTGCCTGACACACAGAAAAGTACTAATGAATATTACGTGAATTAATATCAACAAGTATAAATATACTGGGTTGGCCAAAAAGTTCCTTTGGTTTTTAAGTAAAACTAAAAGACATTTTCATTGTCACCAAGAACTTTATTGAACAACGTATTCACCTTTTTGTTCCACTACCTTCTGCCATTTTCCAGGTAACTTCATAATTCCATCTTCCCAAAATTTTTTATCTTTTTGAGAAAAGAACTGTTCCAGGTGCCTTTTACAGTCTTCCAGGAAATGGAAATTTTTTCCATTAAGAGAATTTTGTAAAGACCGAAATAAATGGAAATCCGAAAGTGCAATCTCTGGTGAATATGGCGGATGAATCAGAACTTCCCAGCCAAGCTGTAACAGTTCTTACTTGGTCATAAAAGAAACATGCGGTCTTCCGTTATCCTGATAGAAGATTATGCATCTTCTGTTGACTAATTCTGAACGCTTTAGGTCGAGTGCCGCTTTCAGTTGGTCTAATTGGGAGCAGTACTTGTTGGAATTAATCATTGGGTTTTCTGGAAGGAGTTCATAATAGAAGACTCATTCCCTTCCAATCCCACCATATACACAACATCCATCACCTTCTTTGGATGAAGACTGGCCTTTGGTGTGGTTGGTGGTTGTTCATTTCGCTTGCCCCCACGATCGCTTCTGTTCCACATTATTATGCAGTATCCACTTTTCATCACCAGTCAAAATTTGTTTTAAAAACGAAACGTTTTCATTACGTTTAAGTATAGAATCACATGCAGAAATATGGTCAAGAAGGTTTTTTTCGCTTAACTTATGTGGAACCCAAACATCAAAGCAATTAACATACCAAGCTGGTGCAAATGATTTTCAATGCTTGATCTGGGTATTTTGAGTATGTTGGCTATCTCCAGCGTGGTATAATGTTGATTGTTCTCAATTAATATTTCAATTTGATTGCTGTCAACTTCAACTGGTCTACCCGACCGTGGAGCAACGTCCAGCAAGAAATCTCCAGCATGAAACTCCGCAAACCACTTTTGACACGTTCGAGCAGTCACAGCACCTTCTCCATACACCGCACAAATCCTTTTGTGCATTTCAGTTTCATTTTTACGTTTCTTTAAATAATAAAGTATAATATGCCAAAAATGTTGTTTTCTTCCATCTTCAATATTAAAATGGCTACAGAAAAATCCACCAATTTTGATAAGTTTTTTAAAAACGCACGCTGACATGACAGCTGTCATGATACAATCTAACAAAATTGTTTCGAATGAAGTGAAAGACAACTAAGAGCTACTAGAAAAAACCGAACAAACTTTTTGGCCAACCCAATATAATGTCTAGTGTAACACTAGAAAATTAGTAAAACAGTGTATATCAGCAAGTTAATGGAGGACAAATACCATTCACAAAAATCAATTAAGGGGAATGCAGATAAACCACATGGCAAAAGGTTAATTTGGTTTTTAAAACTAAGAACTTGCTGTTCATCAAAAGACATCCTTAAGAGTGTCAAAAGGCAAGTCATACTATATACAGGACTTACACAAAATTCTTAAAAAGTGTATTAGAAAAACAGAACCTTATAAAAAATAAGCAGGACACTGAACTGATAATTGTCAAAAGAGGACGAATAAATATACAAAAGGGTGTTCAGCCTCATTAGTAATCAGAGAAATGCAAATTAAACCACATCAAGATACAATTACACACCTACTGGAATGGATAAAAGTAAAAAGAATCAATTTACCAGGTGTTGGTGAGAATGAGGAACAATAAGAATGCTAAAAACACTGCCAGTGTTCCACTTTAGTAGATTAATCTCAAACTGCTTTCCAAAGTTGATTATATGAATATCAGGACCCATAAATTTCACTGTGAATTATACTGAACAAAAATGCACGTGCACTACGAGATATGTGAAAGAATATTCATAGCAGCATTATTCGTAAACAGTGGAAACTATCAAATGCTCATCAATGGATTGGATGAATCCACTGTATTGCATTTATGTAATGGAATGAATGCTAAATAGTTTTGAAAATGAAGTACAGTTACACTCAAAAACATGGAAGAATCTCATCTCACAAGTCTAATGCTGACCAAAATAATCCAGAAGCCAAACCAAAACTAAAAAAATAAACATACTCTGTGATTATATAAAGTTCAAGAACAGGTGAAACTAAACCACAGTATTAGAAGTCAAGACCCTAGTTATCTTTGGGGAAGATGAATGTGGTAACCAGGAAAGGGCATGAGTGGGGGTGCTGGGAGGTAGGCAATATTTTATTTCTTTGACTGGATGTTGGGTGCATGGGTGTTTGCTTTGTCATAATTCATTGAGTTGTTCACTTGTTCTGGGTACTTTTCTGTATGTGTTTAGTAATTAAAAAATTAAGTTGGAAGGAAAAATATTACTAAACAAAACAATAAATAAGATCAAAAAGTCTGATCTTGGTTGTAAGTCAACTTTTAAGTTTGAATGCATTGGGTAAACACCTACATTTGTTCTTGTCAATAATGTGGGTTTTGGTTCCTAAGGTTTGCTGCATTTAACTGGGTAAAGCTTTAGTGACTTTTAATCAATAGACTGGAAAATACATTAAACACATCACAATTATGGAGAATTAGCTGAAGCTAAATATGCTCATTTTCAAATTACTTTTAAATACCTTCATGTAGAAATGTCATATCTTTCTTGACAACAGGGAAGAGTGGAATAATTGGAGGCTGCATGCTTTGACTACTAAGAATATTTCTATATTTTGCCATGTTTCTAGATGGATCAAAAAGGTCTTGTAGATCTTGGAGGTGTTTCTCATACTTGCTTGGTAACTTTTCCCAAGTACCTCTGAGTCGTGCTACAGATGCCAGGTTCAAGCCACTGCCGAAGATGAGAATAAAAACATTAGAAAGGGACTTGTGGGAGAGAAAGGACTCAGGTCAGGAAAGTGTATAAACCAATCTTTTCTAATAAAGGTAAAATAAGCAGGGACAAATTTCAATGTGTTGAAATAAACAGGAGAACCATGAAAAAATAAATAAATAAAAGGGACTCCTTGATCTTAAGGAAAACTTCCTTCAAAGGAACTACATTACTTGCCTATGGTTGTATACCAACAGCCTTTATTTTGTAGTCTGCATGTAAATCACAAATATAGTAACTCCATAAAATAGGCATTTAACTTAAGAATAAATTTCAAGTATCACAATTTTTTATTTGCTCAGAAATAACTTTATGGACAAATTACCTATTTGAGAGTGGTGTAAGTGATAACAAGCGTTATATAAGAAGCAAGGCAAGTTCTGGGGCTGAAAACCTTCTTTCCTTGAGATTTTGGCCACTCATGTCCCTGATTCCAATACTTCCATATCCCTAGATTCTAATCCTGTTGTCCCTCAGGCCTTCATATATTCAATGTCTCCTCTCTATAGGATTTTAAACAAACTCAGATGGTCCTAACTTTAAAAATAATGCATGCCAATTAGGCTACAACTCCTCCTCCCTATCCCTTACCTCTATACTACCAACTCATAGGTATGCTGCTGAATGAATAGTGCAATTTTCTTACCAGTTAATCCCTCTTTTGTTCTCAGCCACCTGACTTTTACCAATACTATGGTATTTAAAATGTTCTCTTGATTTCTGATTTTAAAGTGTGGAGTTAAGGTATCTTTGTTCCCTCTGCTTCTCAGAAATCATCCCAAACAACTACAAGGATGAATAACAGGAATGCAAATTTCATCTCCACCAAAACTAAGATATCTGTAACTCCTAAACACATTAGAAAGGCTGTCAAAAAATAGCCAAGGTCAACTTTGAGTAGGCAAAATGCTGAAAAAGAATGCCTGCAGATGAAGATGTCAATGAAAGCTGGTAAAGCACAGCTCTCTGAAGCAGGTAACTCACCCAGAAGGCAAACCAGGAATCCCCTGTTTGGAAGAACACAACAGAGTCCATAGGCTGACAGAATTAGGAGCGGGTTGGACTCTGTTCTTTACCAGAGAGTGTCAGGGAAAGTAAGATTAACACAGTACACACAGTGATATAACATCTTGGCAAGAAGGAATTTAACAGTGACACAAGAAAGAAGGGAGAAACTGAGTTGTAAGCAGCCATAAAACTGCCAATTTTCATTTGCTGGAGAGAAGTAAAGGGTAAAACAATTCACATACAAGCTCTATTTCTGCTAGCCTGGGATACTGCCCTGGCTTTTCTCCCACATGAATCTCCTGCAGATAGATGGTATAGGAAAACTCATGTCATTCAAAAAGAAGGAATGAATACCAGAGCTATAACATGCTGCTACAAGGAAAAACAAAGACTTAAAGATCATAAAGCAGGAAAATGTTCCAACAATACAATAAAAACTGGGACTAATGACTCTAGCCATGATTTCAAATGAACTAATAAACAAAGAGTAATGCGGTGATACAGGAGTTTAGGGAAAAAATATATAAGTTGATAAAAGAGTTAAGTAAAGTTTAGAAAAGAATGGAAGAAAAAAATGCAACCAGCAGAGAAATGAAGGCAACACTGGAACCTACATAAAGAAAAAAAAGACACTGCTAAAACCTTAGGCAAGTGACTTAAAAGAAAGGATTAACAAAAGCAATCAATGGAAATGGACAGAGCTGAAAAGAACAAGAGAGAAAATAATGGATATGGAAGACAAAGGAGATCTAAAATACATATAACTGGTATCCTTGAAGAAGGAAACGAAAATAATGGAACTGAAAAAATATTCAAAAGTACAATTTGAGAAAACTATTCAGAAACAAAATAACTGAATCTATAGAATAGATACCACAGTTCCAGAGAACTTGATACAAAACTAAATGAGATGTGGAAACACCCATGTAAAGGTAAATGACTTCAGAGATAAGGAAATAATAAGGAGAGTAAACACAGAAACTTGAACAGCTATATAAAACGCTAGTTGTAGAGCCATTATCTATGAGGTTCCCAAGAAATTACATGTTAGACAAGAATTTTAAAGGCAGATAAACTGACACTGTAGTTCAAAGCCAACAGAAAAATACTCTGAATATGCTCAGGATATATAATTCCCATAAGCCCTTGTGCAAGAAATGACTAGAAAACAAACTTCAACCAGGAGATGACTGGAGAGAGTGATGTCAGCATTATACTGTCATAAGACGACCCTCATTTTACTCCCTGCCCCAACAACGAAAATTCAGCATCTATCCATGAACAGTAAGTAGTGCCTCTGTGGGAGCTGTGAGACCCAGAATCACAGACCAAGGGACCTGAGAGGAGCCTCACCCACTGGCATACTGGGTAACAAGCAGGTAGATTTGGATACTGGCTGTGGAACCTACAAGGGACTATGAAATGGTTCTGGCCCCTCTTAGCTGTGGTCTGGGAACACATGGAGAACACTGACTTGGGTGGTCAGCTACAGACAAGAGAGCCTCTGTGAAGCCCAGGTTTCCAGAGGGGAAGTTCAAGCACTCTGCTGGAATATAACAGAACAGAAAAAAAGAGTGCAGATGCACTGGAATAGAAATAGCTTGACTTTGCTGGCATCAAGGAAAGCACAGCTTAAGCCTAAACTAGACGGCCTATGATTTCTCCCACAGGGGAAAGGGAGAGCCAGTGAGTGAATGCTTGGCTGCCCTAGCAGTGTAGGATGCTGCCAAAGACACTCATTCTGTCTTGTAGCATCCAGAGCACTAAAGTGGGAGCTCCATGACTGGGGGGAGGGAACAGATCAGAAGAGCAGCATATAAGATTCCAAGAGGTATTAAAGGGATGTGGTTCCTGCTAAATGCTTCTGGATTCCAACAGGAAGCCCATCCAGGAGCCACAGGGAAAACCTCACTTGTAAACCCCCCAACGTACCCAAGAGCACTGCAGCTCAACATGCACAAACCCACACCTCCCCCCACTCTGCTACTGGCTCCCTGTGCAAGGTCCCAAGAGAAAGCTCTGGTAGAGAGGAAACACACACAGGAAACAGGCCAGAGTCTGTGGGCAAAGAAGAAACCACAAACCTGAGCTGTAGCACTACCTTTAGGAAAAAAAAAAGAGACTATCAGCAGCTGACACAGTACATCCTAGGATACAGAGAAGACATACAAGCTTCAGAATTCTGCCACAAGAGGGAAAAGAAGCATGGAGCAGATGTATCCACACAATGCCTGAGAAAGCCTCAGAATCTATCAATATATCAAGAATGATGAAAGGTTTTTTATCCTGAAGGCAACTCATAAAACTCAGAGAAGGTGAATGCTATTTCAAATGCAAAAAGAGCAATGCAAAACTCCAAGTAACATGAAAACTGAGGGAAACACGACATCACCAAAAGTTCACAGTAATCTTCCAGTAATCAAACTCAAAGACATGGCGATCTATGATTTACCTAACAAAGAATTCAAAACAGGTGTTCTAAGAAAACTCAATCAGCTATAAGAAAACAAAGGCAATTCAACGAAATCAGGAAAACAATATATGATCCAAATGAGAAATTTAACAAAGATATAGACATCACAAGAAAGAACCAAATGAATATTCTGGAGCCGAAGAATTCAGTGAATGAAATGAAAAAATGCACTAGAGAGCATCAACATCCAGTAGACCAAAGAGAAGGAAAAATCAATGAGATAGAGGACAGGAACTTTGAAATAACTCAATCTGAGGAGAAAAAAGAACGAAGAAAGTTGGGAAACCATCAAAAAAAACACATCCCATTATACAAACCACTGGAGTTCCAGAGGGTGAAGTGAGGGAAAAGGAGGCAAAAAGACTATTTAAAGAAGTATGGCTGAGAACTTCCCAAACCTGGCAAGAGATCTAGACATCCAACCTCACGAAGCTAATTGGTCACCCCATTATTTCAATCTAAAACAACTTTCTCCAAGACACATTATAATAAAGGCAGCAAGAGAAAAAAAGATTGTAACCTACAAAGGAAACCCCATTAGGCTATCAGCAGATTTCTTAGCAGACACCTTACAGGCCAGGAGAGAGTGGTCTAACAGTCAAGAGTACTCTATCTGGCAAAGTTATCCTAGAGAAATGGAGGACTTTCCCAGAAAAACAAGAGCTGAGAAATTCACCATCACTAGATGTGCCTTATAAGAAATGCTAAAAGAAGTTCTTCAAATGAAATGAAACGATGCTAACTAGTAACATGAAAACATATAAAAATATACAACACTCTGATAAAGTATACAGTTAAATTTAAAAAACTCTCAACACTGAAATATGATGGCATGTTAACTAGAGTATAAAGGTTAAAGGACAAGAGTGTCAAAAATAACTCTAGCTACTACAATTTGTGAATGAATACACAATACAAAAAGGCAAATTGTGACATTAAAAACATAAAAGAGGGGGTAGGGTTTTGTATGTGACTGAAATTTTATCAGTGTCAAACAGACTGTTAATAAGATGCTTCATGTAAGTCTCATGGTAACCACAAAGCAAAAGCCTATAGTGGACTCACAAAAGATGAAAAGGGAATCAGAGCATACCACCATGGAAAAGCACCAATTCATAAAGGAACACAGCAACAGAGTCAAAAAGTTAACAAGGGAATTATAAAACGTCCAGAAAACAATTAGATGGCAGTAGTTAAGTCCTTACATTTCAATAATTACTCTAAAGGTAAATGGACTGAATTTTCCAATCCAATGGCACAGTTACTGGTGGATAAAAAAACCCAAGATCCCACTATATACTGCCTACTCAACTCAGCCTAAAGGATACAGACAGGCTCAAAGTGAATGGATGGAAAAAGATATTCCACGCAAGTGGAAACCAAAAGAGAATAGAGTTATTTATGTCAGACAAAATAGACTTTAAGTCAAAAATGGTAATAAGAGACAAAGAAGGTCATTATATAATGATAAAGGGGTCAACTCAGCAAGAAGACATAAGAATTGTAAATATGTATGCACCCAACAGCACAGCACCTAAGTATATTAAGCAAACACCAACAGATCTGAAGGGAGAAAAAAACAATACAGTAATAGCAGGGGACTTCAATATTCCACTTTTAGCAATGGATCTATCACCCAGACAAAAAAAATCAACAAGGAAATGTTGGACCTGAACCATACTTTAGATCAATAGACCTAACAGATATATACAGGACATTCCATCCAACATCAGCAGAATACACATTCTTCTCAAGCATGCACAGAACATCTTCCAGGATAGGTCACGTAAGCCACAAAACAAGTCTTAGCAAATTTAAGAAGACCCAAATCACACCAAGTATCTTTTCTGACCAGAGTGTGTGAAACAGCAAGAGGAAAAATGGAAAATCTACAAATATATGGAAATTAAGCAACACACCCCTGAACAATCAATGGGTCAAAGAAATCAAAGGGGAAATTTAAAAATGCCTCTAAACAAAGGAAAATGGATATACAACGTTCCAAAATTTGGTGGATGCTTCAAAAGCAGTTCCAAGGCAGAAGTTTATAATAATAAATAATTATATTAAGAAAGACCTCAAGTAAATTACGTAACATATGTAACCAGAACTAGAAAAAGAAGAAACTAAGCCCTTTGGGAAATAACAAAGATCCAAGTGGAAATAAATAAGAGACCAGAAAAACAACAGAAAAGATCAATGAAACTAAGAACAGGTTTTCTGAAATAATAAACAAAACTGACAAACCTTTGGCTAGACTTAAAAAAAGAGAAATAAATAAAATATGCTATTTAATTCCAGCCATAAGTGATTGATTTGCCTGTGTCATCTCTGCTGAAAAGTCAATATATCCTTTATATTGTGTAATGTATTTTAATATAAAATGTAAGAATACAAAGCAATTAACTTTACATGAACTATCGAAAATATATATAATAAAATGTTCTTCATAACAAAACAAACCTCCTAACCAAAGCAAAGCCTCTTAACCAAATCTCGCCTTTCTTATGCCCATCTTGGGGCTGCTGTCCACCACCCTGGCTCAAATCATTCTGTTTCCTTGGCTTTAATGACACTATCAAAATTGTGCTCTCCTACTGTTTCTTAATATTGATCCTCTATTTCTTTGGCTGGACTCTCTTCTTTACCTCCACCCTGAGGATGGTCTCTAAGGTATGGTTTTTAGCTCTTTACCATTTTCTTTGGACACAGAGATCTCTGCTGGTGTCGATCAATTTTTTTTTTTTAATGGAATACTCTGAAACTGAGCCTATAACTCTCAGATTCTTTACTCCATGCTTTCTAGCCTTCTAAGTGTTTATCAATGGCATCTCTGTTCTCTTGTTTTAGACCCAGCTGTTAAAAACTGTGAGGTAGGTGGTGTAATTCCTGAATTTCACAGATGAGAAACCGGTCTTCAGTTTCCCCTTGACACGTTAGAGGCAAGATTCAAATACAGGTGCAGTTGATTCTAAAGGTCACTCTATTAATCTCTATTCAATACTTCCTCCACAGTGCCTAGTTCAATTGCATCCACTGGTAAATTTCATAAAGGAGTTTTCTATTACTATGACAGATTTATGATTAAAAAGTTCCTTAAAGATTCTAATTTTATCTCATGTGAGTATTAGGAATAAATCATAATTAATTTTTTGGAGGGTGTGCATAGATGGGATTAGTTAAGGTAGCTATTATGCTGCCATATACAAGCACATGGCCTTATAAACAGACCAAACTACCACTACCCTCCACCATTAAAATCAGACTTGCTTTAAGAGGAATCCCTCTGTTGGTCAGCATTGTGCTGGATGAGGGTCAGAAAATAAATGACCTAGACCTAGATTCTCATAATAAGTGAAGAGAAGGAAGAAGGTTCCCAGGAGCTCATGTAACCATCCACATTTCCTGGGCTTATAAACTTTGAAGGATTTTTACAATTCTTATGGCCCAGCTTTTGTCTGAGTGGTAACACATTCACTGATACCTTGTATAGTCTGTGGGAAACAGGAAGAGGTCACCAAATGGCTGCTGCTGTTATTACTGTTGCTGCTGTTGTCACTTCAAAATAGCAATTTTAAGTTAGTGCATTAATACCATTAATTTTTAGTGCATTAATTTTTCAGTGTCAAATCATGGTGAGGCAGGTACTGCCTGTTGCACAGAAGTCTGATGATAAAGACAGCTTTTGGGCATACATCCAAGAGGGTATAATACCTCAAAGGGGGAGAAAGGAAGAAAACTGGGAAGGCAATCACCTATACTTACCAAAAAAATGTTTAAGTGACTGAAAGATGGAAGAAACAAAAAGAGAAAAAAACCAGTCTCACCAGAATGGAAAATATATTAAATCTAACAATATTTATATAAACACATATTAATTGAACTTTTCTTCTCCTAGCCATTTAATACCTAAGAAGAAAATCAGCTTCATGTCCAGTATCATGACAAAACCATAAAGAAATATTTGTACAAATTTACCTTATTATTGCAAACATGGAATTGAAGTTCTTACATTCTCGACAATGAAGTGCAATTTTAATAAAATGTTTAATAATCTTCATTCGTTTGAGCTGATTTGATTCAGTTAAAATCTCTGAGGCCACCCAGAATGTCTCTTGGTTTACAATATCTTCAAATTCTTTCAAGTGAGTATTTCCTGTTTTTGAATCTAACTTAAAAAGGTCATCAATATATTCAGTAGGCTCAATATTACGAAATAAATCAAAGTCCCTCATTGACAGCTGAGTGGCCACCTCAATAGTACTGAGCTGCAGCATGGATAGCTGGCTTTCCTTAATTAGTTCTTGAGCATCTTCATCTGAACAGAGGGTTTCTGTTTCCATGTTATTTTTTAAATAATACCTAAAAGGAAAAAAATTGTTTTTATAAGTGATTTCACATTTATAAGAACACTTTCCCTCTATCACTGTTGTCAAAATATCATTATACTGTTAATAACTTTTTGCCAGCAATGTCAGCAGAATATTGACTTAAAGATAAGACAGAGGGACTTCCCTGGTGGCACAGTGGTTAAGGCTCCGTGCTCCCAATGCAGGGGGCATGGGTTCGATCCCTGGTCAGGGAACTAGATCCCACATGCCACAACTAAGGAGGCCACCTCCTGCAACTAAGACCCAGTGCAACTAAATAATAAATAAATAAATATTTTAAAACAAGATAAAATGGAAAATTAATATTTTAAATAAGAAGACTTTGAAGAAGTTTTCCTCTTATTCGACCATTTAACATCTATTATTTTAAAGTGTAAAAATAATGTTGATTATGCTGTGAACTTAATCATTTTAAGAAACTACTCTCATGACATGTGAAGAATCACGTGTATATTCTTGAGAACAAAAGCTTTGTGAGGGCTCTATAAGGATATAGGACACATAATAGGTACTATACAAATACTTGTTCATGGATAGCATGAATAAACTCCTGAATCAAGACTGTTCACATCTCTACTCAGAAGTTGTTGCTGCACTCATTCCCTTCTTAACTCTAAATTTCCAAGAGAAGCAAAGAAGAATAAAACCCATAAAGGAGGGAAACTCTTCCACTACTGATTTCTCCCTTGATAAATCCAAAACCTCATTCCAGCAAACAGCACTGACCAGTAACCATAAAAAAGATCTTCATTTGCCTTTCACCTTTTTAGATGAACAATTTTATGGCACTTAAAAGCTAAGAGATGGGTTAAGTAAAGAATTCACAATTGGGAAATATACAGGGCTGTTGCTGCAGAAGAGGTTACATATTGTATCACATGTAGTTTTTACTTCATTCTTTTCTAACATACAACTTGATCTAAGTCTAAGTTTGTGTCCATCTATGTTTTATTGTCAAGGAACTATATTTCTTTTTCTTCTGCCTTTAAACGGTTCACATGCCTAAGAGATTACCATAAATAAGTGTTGAAACTCATACTATAGATAATAAAATTATATCTAACATTTAAAGTATGTTATGCTTATTAACTCATTTAATTCTCATAACATTCCTCTGAGGTAGGTTCCATTATTATCATCCCACTTTATGATGAGAAAATTCAGGCACAGAGAAACTAAATAACTTGCTCAAGGTCACATAGCCAGACCAGGGATTTGAATTTGGGCAGTCTGGCTCCAGGGTCCATGCTCTTAACCACTATGTAAAGCCAGCAAAGCAGCGTTAACCCACTCTTTCTTAACAGCAACCATGATGGATAGTCATTTTAAGGTTTCCAAGGATTTCATCCTACATATGAATCTGGGCTCACTAAAAAGACTGCATTATTGTCAGAGAAAATCACCAAAGAACAAATGTAGTACTAAAACTATCTTCTAGTTGATCAAATAATTTTCAGAGCACATTAAAAACATTTTTAAAAAGTTTTCCTGTATATTCATAAAAGGAAAACTACTAAGAAAAAGAATTATGAAAACTATGACTTCTTCTGCCCAAAGTACATACTGGTCATTTAGAAAGCAAATTTATAAATTAACATATATACACTCAGATACATATAAAGATATGGATCATCTAGTTTCCCCCTCTAAAAAACAGGGATTGGACTATACCAGTGGTTGTAAGACTTCATTTTAGCAGGAGGGCTAAAATATTTTAGAACACTATCCTCCCTTTCTTTCTCCCACTTTTGGGCAGCACTTATTAGTGCTAACACTCTAAGATTCTATTATACATAATTACGGAGACAACAGAAAGCTAACAAAAGAGAAATACATGTTAATTTTAGAGAGAACTCAGTGGACCTAAAAACATGATGTTCCTAATTAAAGTATCTCTTTTAGCATGGAATCTTCAAAAACACATGTAGAAATAAGTACATTCATTAATAAGCACATTCACCTTCCATTGAGCTGAATTCTATCAGCTAATTTGGAGAACTGGTCCGGAAGTCTCCTCTGTTTTATGACACCCTCAGGAGTAACAGAAACTTCACAGAGAGAATATGTGTCAGATGCACCAGTCAAACCAAATTCATGAATAGCTTGACAAACAACTTCTTTAGCTGTAGTGTCTTTACAGATGATAATGTAGCAACTTTGTTGATCTGCTTTGAAAACTCTTATAACTTGATCAGGAATATCTGTATAAATACAAAAATATGTCCTGTTATTTTCCAGAAAATGGCTTTTAAACTCTTCAAAAAATAATTTGGAAGACAATGATCTCTCTAAACAGTAATATATATATTTCTATCTCAGGAGGTTAAGAGAAATCATTGCTGCATTTATTAATAAATAAATGTATCTTTTCAGATGACAAAATATTAATATATGTTCACAGGAAAACACCAAGAAAAAGAGAAAAATTAGAGTCATACTACGCATACGATTTGGAAGCCACAAAATTTTTGTTTATTATAAACATTTTAATGCCATTAAATATTCTTCAACAAAACATTTTTTAATGGAGGCATAGGACTTCACAATATGTATCTGATAATTTGAAATGATCCAAACCCTTAATCACAGACATTTACCTTGCATATCACTTTCCTTTATTATAAGTAACAGTATGATAAATAATTCCCCCCACCCCAAACTCTCCCTGTAGATAAACCTTTGCATGCAAGCTGATTATTTCCTCAGGGAAAATCCAAAAAAAGAGAAATGCTGAGTTAGAGGGCATACATATTGTTAAGGTTTTTGAAATATAGTTCTGAACTGTTCTCCAGGACAGTTATAATATTTTATCATCCTAGGGTATAAAGAGAACAATTTTAGTCACACTCTTATCAAAACTGTTTATTAAAACTTTTTTTTTTCCATTTTGAAAGCCCTATTGCATTTCTGCCCTCCAAAAATGTGTCATTATTTTATATTTCACTTCTTGGTTACTGGTGAGACTCACTGGTTTAATGAACCATTATTATTCCTTTTTAAAAATACCTTTTGGTATTCTTCATGCTTTTTCCTACTGAATTATACTAAATACCAACACAGCCTACTATGAAGTGGCAAATGTCTTCTCAGATTTTATATTTATATACTTTAACACAGGAAAAATTTAAATATTCATGTGGTTAAATCTCAGTCTTTGCCTTTGTGATTTCTGCTATTAGTAAATAAGTCCTACTTTAAGATAAATGTTCATATATTATGTACATGTAAATAATGGTATTTTTCCCTCTTACTCTATCATATTTCTTTTTCTTCTTATATGGCATTGGCTAAAACTTCCTGAACAATGATCGATATGACAACAGTGGGCTAATTTTTTAATATAATTATATTTTTATTACATAATTTACTATATAATTAAAAATAATTAAGTGAAAAGAGAGTTAACATGAAAAACTTAAATTTTTCCTCATGATAATAAATTGTTACAAAAATTTCTTTCATTTTAAATCAGGAAAAATGTATTATTGTGGATATTTTTGTCATGTGTGTAGTGGGGGTGGGCTGGGGATATTTTGGTGGCTCAAGTAATGGTATATTCTTTGCCTAGCATTACCTCCTTCTTAGCATTGTATAAATTGTAAGATTAAGAGGAAAAGAAAAATTACAAATTTGTCTCAAAACCACCTGAGGTATAATCCTAGCTAAAGGAAAGAGAAGAATAATGAAATAGATGTGGGAGGAAATAATTTCACAGAATAAAGTATGCAGTGAGGCTGAGGACACAAAAAGACAGAGACTGACTCTCAGGACTGGAAGAGTCAACTGAATGTACACAAATACAATTCCAGGAAGAAGGATTCTTAGCCAACAGATATTTTGAATGTTCTGGGTCTACTGTCAAATTGGAAGCAGAATACTTCATCTATTCAGGTCCCCTTCGTAAGATGCACGCACCAAACTGCCTTTTCTTAAGGTATGCAAAGATCTGAGTCACCAAACATCTCTTGTTCCTATTTCTTTGCAAATGAGTCAATCCTCAGCATGTTGCTGACATTATCAGGTTTCTAAGTCTACAAGGCATAATGTAGGACCTTAATCCATGCGAACGAGATGCTTCTCTACTCTGGGCTAGAAAATGCAAGAAGTTGGAAATTTCAGTTTTCCAAAAGAAAGATACTGGACAGAACAATTTCATTATCCCTTTTAACTCTACAAAAGGTGTCAAACAACTACTATTATTATCTGTATTGTTCCTACCCTCTTCACAAAAATAGGTCTCAGTTGTCCAGGACTCTTGAGTTGGATTTGTTTACTAGGTCTTTGGGGGCTGAGCCTCAGCCAGCAGAGCTGGCTGACCTGGAAGGAATACGGAGATGTTCTGATCCCTTTTATTAATTTCTTCAGAGAAATTTATTCACAAAGACAGGTGGGGAATTTGCATACATTTCTCTTGCTGCTAACATACTATAACATCTGGGAAGGAGCAGACGTCTGTATCTTGTGTATCCTGCTAAACACTGTACTCTGTTACACTCTGTTAAATTCATACTCTGTTAAAACCACTTGTTTCACATTCAAAGGACACACTGACATACGGTCATGTAAGTGGGATTCAGGCATCATAAATGGGTAGCTCTAGAACAGATCTGCAAACAGAATTATCCAAACGGTACTCCATAACCCAAACCTGGTTAATTCACCAAGATAATAAATGCCAAATGAGAAAAACATTTCAGAGCACATTTTCAGCACATTTTCAGAGACACTGGAGGAAAAAATTTCTCCGCGCAGATATCAGTGTCAATGTAAACCTCTTTTTCCATTTTAGAATTGCTACCTGTATAACACATATATTTTCTTTACAAATGTGTGTTAGCAGGAGAACATCATACATGCCAAACATAATACTTGGCACATGGCAGACACTCAAATGTTAACTGTTTAGATGAATGGTAAATATGAAGTTAGAATAAAGTTGAATCAAGAAGAAAAAATGACCTAAACATTTCAAATTTTAGGCACAAAGCTAGAATGCACATAAAAATATAATCCTGTAAGCAAAACAGACATTTAAAAAGAATCTTGAAGCAGTACAGCATTTATCAGTCTTATGATGCATATTCCATAATAAAATTCTTACATAATAGGTAAATGAATTCAAGAACTGAAATTCAGATACCTGGACTTCCAATCCAAGGGCAAAATTTCTAGAGTGTTAACTATCTCTCATAAATAAAATTAAAAAATGAGTAAGTGAAGGATACATGTTTTGACCTTGAGATTACACTAAAAATAGAACTTTTTAGGTATTTAAGATGATCATTTAACAAAAGCAGAAGACTGCCTCTTCATTCTGCTTTAAATTGTTAATCACTGTACAAATATTTATGGAGTGCCAGTTATACATCATTAGTGTTCTAGGTGATGAAGATGAAGTAATAAATGAGATTGACAAAGTCTCTGCTTGCAGAGATTTGCTTATATTCAAGAGAGTAAGTGGTGGTTCAAGGAAAGACAATAATCAAGTAAATAAGACAATCGGTATAGTGAAAAGTTCAAAAAGCAAACACAGGGTAGTGGTATAATGGTATGGATTAAGGATTGGCAAACTTGTTCTACAAAGGGTCAAATAGCAAATATTTTATGTTCTGCAGGCCAAGAGGCAAAACAGATACTATTTCATAGACACTTATATAACAAGAAAGAAAGCAAATTTCCACAAAAATCTTGACAAAATTAAAAATATATCAATAATGCAAACCTACAACATGTAAAGATATGTAAACACAGAGGTTTAGGCAACACTGCAAACATCCACTAAAAGGGGACTGGTTAAACAACGCTATCAGATGTTCAAAAAATCGTGGTAGAATACATTCTGATACAGAAAGGTATTTACGGTATATTGCTAAGTGAAATGGGCTAAGTGGAAAAAAATTATATCATTTGGGGTGAAGGAAACGATACACACATTTTATGTGCTCTGAAATTTCTGGAAGGATGTAGGAGTAAATGAACAATTGTTAATTCTGGAAAGCGGAGACTTTTATATTTTATCCTCTCTCTGCAAATAAAAACTTTAATATATGTTCCTTTACAATTAAAAATTAGTTAAAATACTTGCAATGCAAAAAGAATTTGAAGTTTACTAAATATTAACGAAGTCAAATAAAAAGTTTGTGCTATTAAATAAAAAAGAATAAGCAAAAAGTTCCATATGAAGACTCAGAAAAAAAAATTCAGTTTTAAAATTCTTTTAGCTATACTCTGAATTCTTCTTTTAGGCCTCATCTCACATTAAGTCCAAAAATTCTGAAAACACTTTTCACAAGTTACAGAATAGCATGTATACTCTAATTCTATGAGTATAAAAACATATATATTCAAAGAAAATGACTGAAAGAATATACGCCAGTTTACACTGGCAACCTTGTAAGTGTATAGAAAAGTTCTGCTTCCTATTTCATTCAATTCTGTATTATTTGACTTTTAAAAATATAGTAAAATACTGCATACAAACATAAGCAATAAAATACCATAGTCTTCAAGATACTTACAGTAAAAACCAACAGCTGTAGGCAGCAAAAACAAAGCAAAACCATAAAAAAGTCAGCAATCAAAAGCAAACTATTAAACAGTTCTGTAGCTTTGTCCTTACTTTCTAGTAACAATTTAAAACATGCAGCAAAAATATAACTGAGATGTAGACTGATAAAAGCTAGTCAAACTTGGCTGATGTCACACATGTACTACAATATACATACGTGATGTACACAGCTAATCTAAAATTCAGTGCTGCCATATATGACTGATGGAGCTGAACTTGAAATTAATTGGTAATAAATATTTTATTCAACATAAATACAAATAGCATGGCAGAAAGCCTTTTGTAAAGTTGCTCATTTGGGGGTTTACAAATATAATCTTAAGTTAAATTCCTATCTTGTATGTGTTCATTTCTATTGCTGATATGGACAAAGGCTACATACTGAGCTTTGCAGACTGACCTTCTCTGAATAGATTTTAAAAGGGCATCTTCAGCCCTTTCAACATGTTTTCATTGAGAGAATTATGCAATCAATCTGAAATCAAGTTGAGTAGTACATCCTCTTCAGAGATAAGAATTTCAGTGCCATGGGGCTTACAGTTTCTGAATTTTAGTAATTCCAACCTCTCTCTTCCTTTCGCACCCCCAGCTAAATCCCCAACTTCTCTCTCTCCTTTCCCTTCTACCCATCCCTTACCCACCCTGCAACCCAGCCACACTTCTAGATATGCCAGTGGCAAAAACACAGCCATAAATCAATAATCATAAGTCAATCAATCTATAAATCATATATCCGTAAATACTTGTCTTACGAAAGTACAGATGCATATTTAGTTTGTGCTTTTGTAGTGCTCAAATATTTTATTTGTGAACATAGTGTAAGAAGTACTGCTGTGGAACACACACACAAACACAGACACAGAAATAAATTCCCATGCTACCACATGACAAGCAATGTAAGAGAGACAATGAAAATGTGCTAGAGATTTCTGGAAAAAGAGATACTGATTCTGCATCAGAAGGACCTGGGATTCCCAGATGAGGTAACAACTGAGTTCAGCATTGAGGAATAAGAAACATTTCATGGGATATGCAGGGAGAAAACACCAAAGGTGGCAGACAACATGGGCAAAGAGAGTTCTGAAGGTACATGCCATACTCAGGAAAGACAGAAGAGGTAACAGTGGGGAGAATGGCAGAACAGGAGGCTAGAAAAGGGGTTGATAATTATGCTTTAAAAATTGGATACCAACAGTTATTAAGTTATCGTCTTTAGGCTCCAAACCCATGCTGCCCTGCCACAATGGGGCTGGGACTCTGCAAACCACATTTCTTCTTTGCCAATTGTCTCCCTCTTAGGTTCTGCCAAAAAAGGGCACCAGAGGTAGACTGCAAGGTTAGAGGAAGAAGAGACTTGCTGCTTTATGTTCTTACTTCTGGGTATGTGGCTCTAGTATCACTCAAGCAACACTCCTTCACCCTGGTAGTGGCATTTTTTCAAGTGCCAGAAGCTGAATCCAGTTTGCAGTTTCCTGTGATGCCTTAGTGCTTGCTTTTTTACCTTTTTACATAGAACACTTTACTTTATACTTGGTAACAATTTCTGATACTAAACACATGGAGTGGTTTCTATCTCATGACTGAACCCGGAACTAATAGAAATCACTAGAAATTTCTAAGCCAAGTAACGACTCATCGAAACCTTCACTCTAGAAATAACACTGGTAGTCACATAGAGGGTAGGGTGTATCAAAGACAGACTATTGGGTTTAGGAATCTCTCTAAAGAGGGGAAGAAGCAAGTGAAATAAAAAGGAAGAAACAATGTGCAGAACAACTTTCTACTGCGTTTTTATGTTATGCCTTACATTTTAAATTTATGTTGCTGTATTAAAACATAAACTTTACTACTACATTTATACTTCCTCCTATCTAATGCTGAGATTTATATAATTGAGTTCTTCCCTTTTCCCACTAGCTGATAGAGATTTAGCGTCAAAACTGAAGCTGAATCACAACTATGCCCATCTTTGTAGAGGTTTTTTTTTTTAATTTTATAAGAGCACCTTTTACATTGTTATAAAATTTGGAGAATGGATTGGTTAAAACGTTGAAACCTGAGACTGGAGATATAAATAGTGGTGAGTTTATGAAAGCTCTCACTTACCACAGCAAGAAATTTGGCTTATAAACTTTTGACAATTTTATCAAGTAGAAATGGGCTTAGCTGCATGTAACAGAAAACCTAACAAAAGATTAAGCAAATTGACACATTTTTGTAGAGGTGTTTTTTTCCCTCCTCTCCTTGGACCCAAGTATATATTTCAGTTTTTAACTGTATGTGTCTTTTACTTAAAGCCATCTCAAATCCATTCAAATGGTGGATATATAAATAATTCTTCAAAGTGTTCCTTTGAAGTTACATAGTTAGATGACAATTTCTGCCTCTGAGCATGAACAGATGCAGAAAAATAAACGATGTCCCACAATGAAAGTCTGAATAACCAATGAAAACGATGATATAGTACTTTAATTAACAATACTGTATATAACAAAAACAACTTTAGCTTCAGGTGGTGGAGAGAAAAATCAGTGTTTCTGGAAAACTACTAACACACTTCTGTACCTCACAGAGGAAGGTAAGTGAGACAACTTAGACTAAAATAATCTGTCTTATTCCTTTCCACATTCTGGGTAACAAGTCTCTTGACCGAGAAGAAGTATCTCTGCTTTCATTCCATTGCTCTGATTAGGGTTACCAACAGATAATGTACTTCTCTTTCATAATGGAAGTACCATCACTCCAGTTTAGACAAAAAGACATAATGTTCTCTTTAGCTTTTTTGCATTAAGTCAAAATATAGAGGTGAGAAAAGAGGACTGCAAGCAAATCCAGTATTTGTTGCACAAGGCTCAACCACCTATTTATGTATCTGGTACCAACATGGCTGAATAAAATAAACAAAAATTACCTGAGGGATTAGAAAAATCCAACATGCTGGTGGTAGGCTGCAGGAGATCGGGGCTGCTGGATGAGAGTGTTCCAGGGATAGGCATTATGGCCAAACTGTGCCTACAGTGTCTCGTTCCCACAATGCTGTCGTCCTGTGATTGGCTCAGGCCTACATCACTTCAAAAGAATGTAATATATCACTTTAAAGTATTTGAGGGGTCTTAACAGTAAACATTTCTGTTCTCTGTACACTAAGGCATAATAGGACCAATTCAAAGTAATGATTTTAAAATAGTACAGCAATTTAAAAAATAGGAAACGTGTAATAATGAAAATGGCAATAAAGTATTTTTTAACAATTACACCCAAATAAAATTTAACTTACACATCTAGGTAATTCTACTACAGTTGACCCTTGAACAACGCAGATTGAACTAAGCAGGTCCACTTATGCACGGATGTTTCTCAGTAGGAGTAAATACTACAGTACTACATGGTCCATGGTTGGCTGAATCCGCAGATGTGAGGAACCACAGACATGTAGGGCCAACTATAAATTTTACATGAATTAACCCCTGCATTGTTCAAGAGTGGAATGTACATTGTAATGTTTGTATTTCATATTTAGTTTCTGCTGGTTTTGGTAGAGAAAATGAACCTGAGTGGGGAGTCCTTGAGGTCTGCCAGTTTCATTAGACACTAATATATATACACCCAACAATGCACAGGGCTGCAGCAAGGTTCATCCTCTTGACCGAAAAGCTTGGTAACCTTCTAGGCAAAGGATGGAGTTGGGTGTGAACCCAAGCCAAAAATATGGCAGGTTGTAGAAAACAATGGGGCCAGGTTCAACTGACAAAATAAGACAGGTCTTTAAACATATGAGTAACCTGGGAACTGCTCAAACCAGCAAGTACAGAGAAAAGAAAACAGGAAGACGACATAGAAAATTGCAACAAACAACAAGAGCAATATGTGACAAATAGAAAGGAGAAGGAAAAAGAGGACCAAAAATGAAAATAGAAGAAAAAGAATTTTACAGTGTCTAGTTTATTCTAAGGGTATATTATTTCTTGTGTGATCTCTCAAATCTAGTTGTTTGGCTGTTTCCTAGATGAGAACATCAAAACCAAAGCAGAAAGCAAGTCATCGAAAGTTAACTGCCTGTAAAGGTTTCAAAAACAAATATCAATTAAATGGACATATTTAAGCAAATATAATATTTTCTTTAAAATATTTTAGAGGTGTTAAATAGGCAATTCTAAAACCATTTAAGAGAAAAAATAACAAATAAATGTAACCCTGTCACTTAAGGTTTAGATATCCTCAAAAGTTCTATAAAACATAGGATAAGCAAAACAATCCTATACAAACATAGGACAGCAATGAAGACTTCCGTCAGCATCAACAACCAAAATACCACTTAGCTCTAAGCATTGGTTTTAACTGGTTAAAACCAATGCTTTAGGTTAATATTAATTCCCATCTATATTTTTTTCAGTGTAGCATTCTACCCAGTATTTGCTACATATACAAACAGTTATCACAGAATACTTACCTATTATCTTGGGATGGATTAATAAGGTCTGAGTGATATGGGATACTTCCTGAATATGTTAGGAGTTAAAAATAGGATGCAGGCAGATTAGGAAACTATGTTAAGATGGAGTTTAGAGGACTGTTAAATAAACAGCTAAAGGACTGTTAGGAGCCAGACAAGGATGAGAGCCAGGACAAGACAGAGAGAGAGAAGTCAGGGAGAAGCATGAAGACACGGAAGAAAGCAAAGATAAGTGTGTCAAGAGCAAGCTATGTCAGACAGACCTGGGTTATTAGCTGTGTGACCTCAGGGAAATTCCTTTCTGTTTCTGAACCTTGGTTACCTCCAAAATTGTGAATAATACTATCGATCCCCCAGGACTATGGCAAAGATTAAATTAGGTAATGTAGGTGAGCACTGTGGCACAGAGGAATACAGGATTCCTACTTTTAAGAAGATAGTAGTACTTTTACTGAAATTAAAATAGAATAATACAGGGACTTCGCTGGTGGCACAGTGGTTAAGAATCCGCCTGCCAATGCAGGGGACACGGCTCCAGCCCTGGTCCGGGAAGATCCCACATTCTGTGGAGCAACTAAGCCCGTGCGCCACAACTACTGAGCATGCACTCTAGAGCCCGTGAGCCACAACTACTGAAGCCTGCGTGCCTACAGCCTGTGCTCCACAACAAGAGAAGCCACCGCAATGAGAAGTCTGTACACCGCAACGAAGAGTAGCCCTGCTCGCCGCAACTAGAGAAAGCCCATGTGCAGCAACGAAGACCCAACGCAGCCAAAAATAAAATAAATTTATATATATTAAAAAAAATAGAATAATACACACCTAGGAAGGATTTTACACAATTCACACTGAGAAACAGAGGCGGGCAGGGTGGGTACAACAGGTAAAGGCACTACAGAAAGAGGAAACGTTTTCCTGGGGGAGAGAATGCAGTCTAATCTTACAGATAAAGCAAAGGGAATATTTTATTTGGCAAGAAATTTTTATTCATGCTAAGTTCGTTCCTTGTAATTTTTTTAAAAGAGTTTTTTGATGTGGACCATTTTTAAAGTCTTTATTGAATTTGTTACAATATTGCTTCTGTTTTATGTTTTGGTGTTTTGGCCGAGAGGCATGGGGATCTTAATTCCTCGACCAGGGATCGAACCCACACTCCCTGCATTGGAAGGTGAAGTCTTAACCACTGGACTGCCAGGGAAGTCCCGGTTCCTTATAATTAGGTGTGTATTCCTAAAGATCAGCGCTAAATGCTTTAAGTTTAGGTAAGAGAAAAAAAGGAGGGGGGCTTTCAGACATATTTTATTTATAGCTTTGTAAGTATTCTGGCAACAATTCATATTACATAAAAAATAAAGATTTTTAAAAATGCAAGTCTTTCTTTGATTTTTGAAAACAAACCTGCCAGTTAGTTTTTGGACACAGAGCGTCAGGTAAATAAATCCAAGGAAGCAAACTGTTAAAAAGATTATGTGGTCCTACTAATAAACAAAGTCGAAACAACCTTAACAATGTTAAAGTTACAATTTTATTAAAGAGAACTGGCTGTCACTTGCAATAATCTGGAATTTACTATAGAGACTCAGAAGTGCATGAAATACTAAAGTCTTTACCTCTCTTACTGATGTTATTTAGCATTACCTCTGCTTTTTTTTTTTTTTTTGCAGTACGTGGGCCTCTCACTGTTGTGGCCTCACCCGTTGTGGAGCACAGGCTCCAGACGCGCAGGCTCAGAAGCCATGGCTCACAGGCCCAGCCGCTCCGCGGCACGTGGGATCTTCCCGGACCGGGGCACGAACCCATGTCCCCTGCATCGGCAGGCGGACTCTCAACCACTGCGCCACCAGGGAAGCCCTACCTCTGCTTTTTAATAAGCAATAGCTATGACATTGCACAGTTAAAATAATATAAAGCTGGTTACAAATTCATGGTAATTAAGGTGAGAACATATATAAATGAAAACTATACTAATGTTATGTACAACCCCTGCTATGACATTAATGAAGTAATCTAATTGACAAAATATCCATGCTTGCTTGGAAGCTGAATTTATAAAGTCTATCTGCAAATAATTATGTCATTTCTTACCAAAACAGTCTCCTAACAAGGTGATGCACTAACAGAAACAAGACAGTTTTGAAAAATTCCTCAATAATTCCTGACACTGAATCTACTTAGAATAAAAGTATATTTTAGTTTCATTACATGAAACTAAAAAAGCTGCATAAATATCATCAATATGCAAATAAAAAATAATCCCAATATTAAAAGCAAACAAGGAAAGAATGCTGACAAGAAATGGAAAGAAAAATATAATTCCTAATAAGCAAACAAGGCAGCCTACTTCTGGGACTGTAACAATGAATTATATACTTAGACAATCCATGATGAAAGAAAACAAAAGCTATGATTCAGATTTCCTGAATTGTGAAATATTTCCAGGTCAAGAAATTCCACATTGCTATGTCTTAATTTACAGATGTTATTCAAAATCAGTTAGTTTTTTTTTTTTTCCAGTTCTAATTTTCTGGAGTATTCTTTCATTTTAAAATTATGTCATGGTTAGGGATTTGGGGAATTACCTATTCTTATCTCAACTATTTGTTCCTTCCTTACATTCATTTTCTTTTCTCCTCTCACAGATGTGGACATTCTCTCTTACAGTATTTCTATGAAAACTCATGCACTACTCTTAAAGTGGGTGCTGCAAAAGGCAGAGCCAAGTGCCCCTTCCAAAGAGTCCTGACACATAGGAGCCATCGAGAAATTGTGGAATTAAACTCATAAAAAATTTTTCTCGGGCTTCCCTGGTGGCACAGTGGTTGAGAGTCCGCCTGCCGATGCAGGGGACACGGGTTCGTGCCCCGGTCCAGGAAGATCCCACACGCGGAACGGCTGGGCCCGTGAGCCATGGCTGCTGAGCCTGTGCGTCCGGAGCCTGTGCTCCGCAATGGGAGAGGCCACAACAGTGAGAGGCCCATGTACCGCAAAAAAAAAAAATTTTTTTCTCAATTAAAAAATATTCAAACCAAAAAATTTTAAAAAACAAGCAAGCAAGCAAGAAATGGAAAATTTACCTATAAAGCTACTTAGAGAAAACCACAATCAACCTTCTTCCCTCTAGTCATTTCGTGGTAAACAGCACAATTTATTTAACCAGTCTTTTGCAATTAGACATTTGGGGTTTTCCAATTTTGTTTTATTATGAATAATATTACTACGAACATCTGTGTATAAATCTTCATCTAATTATTATCAGAAACTGAATTACTGAATCAAAGCTATGAACATTTTTAAAGCTCTTACTAAAAAAAAAGGCCCAAATGCTTTATAGAAAGGTTGTATCATTTTATGTTCCCACAGCAATCTGAGCTTATTATCTCTCTTGTGTTATCAATTCAGAAACTGACTATTCTAACAACCTGTGGTGAAACAAACAATATTCCATTTAAAACTGTGTATCCTTATTATTATTATTTTAATTTTTGGCCTTGCTGCACAGCTTGCGGGATCTTAGTTCCCCATCCAGGGATTGAATCCGGGCCCATGGCAGTGAAAGCGCTAACCACTGAACGGCCAGGGAATGCCTTACCCTTGATTATTATTGATTCAGAACATCTGATTCACGTTCTCTGCCTGTTTTTCTACTGAACTTCTAGTGGTGTGTGTGTGTGTGTGTGTGTGTGTGTGTGTGTGTGTGTGTGTGTGTG